AGCTGTGTCTGCTGTGGTAAGGTGAGGAGAACTGAGCACAATTCTGTTGTTAGCCAACACTGTGGAGCAAATTTCCCTTAGAATTTGGCTCCTTTGGTAATAGCTTTCCAGAAACTCAAGGGCCTTTTAAGAATGATTGTAGCCACTGTATTAATAATGCTGGTTTGGTATTTAGGATGGTTTCTATTTTCGTTATTTGAGGTTGGTAGGATTAGTTTGGAAGCATTACGAGGGACTTTGTTTGACATTTTTCACTGTACATTTTCCATTCCTATAAGCCACTAAGAGTTCTGAAGGATTTGCAACAAACCGATGGAATAAATAAATCACTAAATATCCCAGTTATTTATCTGCTGGCTTCCATGGGAGATCATGTCCCAATCTCCTCTGTTCCCCAAATGCCTGGTGCCTCTCCCATGCTTTTGCCCTTTATTGCTTGTGTTAGAGGAGAAGGTCAGGAAAATTGCAATGACATCAGAGAACGTACCACCTTGAAACACGTTCTTGGAATTGGGTCTGGGGTCTAGCATTTTCCATGCTGCTGTACAGGTAGTCCTCAGCTTACAAAAATTCATTGATTGTTCAAAACACTGAAAAAAAGTGCCTTATGACCATTTTTCATACTTAGGACTGTTGCAACATCCCATGGTCATGTGAGCAAAAAACTCTCTGGTTTTTAATCTTAAAGGGGACAAATCTTTTTTTAAAAGTAAACTAATTTAGAACTAATTAAAAAAAAAGGCTAAAGTCCATTCCTGTGCTAAAGTAATTTTATTATACCATCTTTCTTCATAAAAGGATTGTCTCCTTCAAGTCAAATTCAACTTATGGTGACTTCATGGACAAGTCATTTTAGTTAATTGATTACAGGTAGTCCTCAATTTACAACCACAATTGAGCCCAAAATTTCCGTTGCTGAGACAGTTCTTAAAGAGTTTTGCCCCATTTTACGACCTTTCTTGACACAGTTGTTAAGTGACTCACTGCCATTGTTAAGTTAGTAACATAGCTGCTAAGTGAATCCAGTTTCCCCATTGACTTTGCATGTCAGAAGCTCACAAAAGGTGATCACATGACCATTATGAGTCAGTTGCCAAGCATCTGAATTTTGATCGTGTGACCAGGGGGAGTCTACAACGGTCATAAGTGTGGAAAATGGTAATAAATCATCATTTTCCGTGCCGTTGTAGCTTAGGTCACTAAATGGAACTGTTGTAAGTTGAGGACCACCTGTAATTTCCTTAGCAACAGAATGGAAAGGCCGTAAGCTGCCTTCTTTCTGGAACTTCTCCCAAATTCCCAACATAGCTTGCAACCCCCTAATTTTTCATGGTCTTCCATCCAAGCAGTAAACAGGTCTGATCTTGCTTAATTTTTCCACAGTTGGCCAATGTCAACTATAAAACTTATAAAACTGCCTTTCAGCAGTTTTACATGTTCAGAGGCTGAATCATACAAGAATTGCTTTACTTTTGAGTTATCACTGTCATTTTGTAGCTAAAGCTGTCCTCTCTTTGAAGCTAGCCACAAAAATCATGGATTACAGGAGTTAATCTGTCTCATTTCTCATCTTGCCTACTATCTCCTCCTATTGGGTTCTTATGATTTATCAGCTGTGGTTTGTAACTTATGATTAATGATTGTAACTATGATTTATGCTCCGTGTCCTATTACTTGCTCTTTATATGTACACTCTGAGCTTATGCACCGGAGTCAAATTCCTTGTGTGTCCAATCACACTTGGCCAATAAAGAATTGTTCTATATTACTATTATTATTATCTTTTATTCATTAAACATGAACCTCAGTCAACTGAACATTTAAATTGGCTGACACTGATGGTTGACACGGGTTGCTACCAGCATCCTAGGTGTCAACCAGATATCTCCTTAAAATATAAGATGTTCCGAGTAGTACAGTTTTTTGTAACATTGCTGGAGTTTATGCAGGAAGCTGCAGTTTCTTGATGTATTTTGCAAAGTTTTTGGACATAGTTCCCAGTGCACCAATGACAATGGGTACCACTGTTACATGTTTCATCCATAATCACGCAGTTTCGACGGCCATAATAATAATAATAATATTGTTGTTGTTATATTATTAAACATTTGAAGACATTTACAGGTAGTCCTTCATTTAGTGACCAAAGTTACAACAGCACTGAAAAAAGTGACTTATGACCAGTTTTCACTTACAAACACTGCAGTCTCCCCATGGTCACGTGATCGAAATGCCGGCATTTGGCAACTGCAGTGACAAGTGCAGTGATTTGCTTAACAACTGTGGCAAAAATGGTCAAAAAATGGGGCAAAACTCACTTAACAACTGCCTGGCTTGCTTAACAACAGAAATATTTGGATTCAATTAGGGTCCTACGCCGAGGACTACCTAATCTTGTAGTGAGATAAGTCTGTTCTCAGCTGCAAGGCAATTCAACCTTTTTTTCAGCAACCCTGCTGAAAAAAATTGAACTTTCTGCATTTTTTTTGCACATGCAGAGGTGATTCTGAGTGTATGTGGCATGGTGTTCTGCTCTGCTGGGATAGAAAAACATACCTAGAAGTGATGTTATTGCACAGTCCCTCCATTTTTCACAACTTGGGTTGCTGATCTCCAGGATATAATCCTGCACGAGTCTTCAACATTCATACGGGTCTTTCATATTCCAGAGAAGCTTAGTTGTAACAATCCAACAAATAAATGCCCATTGTGCTTCCAAAAGTAAATCCTCCCAGAAATGAAAGCTTTGAGGTATTACGGGAAAACTGTAAAAGCATTTCTTGGGATTATTCGGTGTTTCCCAGCACTGGTACTCAACAGCGAAAGAGAGGTCAAAAGCAGTCTCAATAATGCCAGCCACCTGCATGTCACTCAGGGATTAGTCAAATTGAAATCTGCCTTGGAAAGAGACTAAAAAACATGTGATGTTCCTTTCTGCCAAAATGGGTATTTTTCTAGTTCTACCAAAAAAAAAAGCCACCATGTTAAAAGTATTCATAAGAGCTGTAGTGGCGCAGTGGTTAGAATGCAGCACTGCAGGCTAATTCTGCTAATTGTCGACTGCCAGCAGTTCGGCAGTTCGACCCTAAATGGCTCAAGACTGACTCAGCCTTCCATCCTTCTGAGGTGGGTAAAATGAGGACCAGATTGTTGGGGGCAATAGGCTGACTTTGTAAACTGCTTAGAGAGGGCTGCAAAGCACTGTGAAGCAGTATATAAGTCTAAGTACTATTGCTCTCAGTTCCCCCAACCTAATTTTCTCCAGTTCCACTGGATTTCAACTTCCAAAAGTCCCAGTCAGCAGAAGGAGGAAGAAAGGCTTAATGATTTCAACCTGAGACCAGTTCAACCAGTTCAGACATGATAGCAGTGTTCCAATATCTAAGAGGATGCCACAAAGAGGGAGTCAAGCTATTCTTCAAAGCACCTGAAGGCAGGACAAGAAGCAATGGATGGAAACTAATCAAGGAGAGGAACCAATTTAGAACTAAGGAGAAATTTCCTGTCAGTGGAAACAATTAACCAGTGGACTGTCTTGCCTTCAGAAGTTGTGGAGGCTTTTAAACAAAGACTGGACAATCATCTGCCTGAAATAGTATAGGATTTCCTTCCTGAGCAGGGGGTTGGACTAGAAGACCTCCAAGGTCCCTTCCAGCTCTATTATTGTTATTCTGTTAACCCTGTCAGTTACTCATTACAACAGTCCATCATATCAGTAGAGAGGGCAGAAAGCAGAAAAGAGCAATAGTTAGCTCCAAATACCCATTGGGGTTATAGAATCTGGGACGAGTTTTGGATTTTCTGAAATCTGACCGTTGAAAGCCTGCAAAAGTGTCCTTACCAATAACTTGTGTATAGAAAGCTTAAGGGCTGTGTGCTTAATCCATTACCTCAGAAATTTAAAACAAACCAACAAAAAAATCTGAAAATGAAAGGAAAGGATGTAAAAAAACCCCTTTCCCTCACATATCCCACCATCTCTCCTAGCACTTAGCAGTGCTGTTAGGAAAACAGCTGAACACATCACTATTCTATTTTTTTAACTTATTTTCTTCTTAAAGCATCATGAAAGCAGTGTAAAGTCTGAAGGAAACATTCCATTTATTGCATAATATTGAGCTATGTACACATACACACATACAAAATAAGCATTTGATAAAGTTCTTTTAAAGTTGCAGTAAAAAGAGGCCCGTTCGCTACCCAAACAGCCAAGTGACCCCTTAATGCTTTTAAAGCTTTTTTCATTAGGGAAAGTGCAAAACATGGTTGAATTAAAAGGTACACAAGTACTGCGGCTCCATGCCAACCAAAATTGAATTACGACTAAAGTCCACCTTGCTCGGCTGACTGAAAAATAAAACACTCTTCATGGCTAAGCTGGATCAGGATTGCAATTAGCTTTTCTCTCCATCAGTCCCAAATGGACTAATTTCATTAGTTTCCATGGATTCAGTCATTATCAACTGGGCTTGGACCAGCAATTGATAATAAAATGTGCATATGGGAGAGAGAGATTTGGGGGAGAAAAGAAAGCTGGTCGTCATTTTTCTTCCATTCATCCCATCCCACTGTAATTTGGCTCTAGATCTCAGTGGGGCAGAGAAAGCCTGCTTCCCCCCACCCAAAAAAGCATCATCCATTCATAAGGCAGGCAGAATGGCAAAGAGACGTCCAGTAGAAGTCTGCAAGAAACACATCTGCAGACTTCTGAGATGGGAAGAAAACATGATTTATGCCCTTGGTGGCGAACCTATGGCACGCGTGCCAGAGGCGCCACTTAGAGCCCTCTCTGTGGGCACGTGCGCCGTCGCCCCAGTCCTAGGCCTTCAGATGGGTTTTATAAAACCTTTTCACTTTAGGCCTCCACCGCCGTGTACAAAAAAAAAAGGTTCAATCAATCAATTTCAACTTCTTGCAGGAAAAAAAAAGGTCTCGCAAAGTTGGAATTGATTGACTGAACTTTTTAGTCCCACCCAGTCTGCCGTTACCACGGCAGCCATGGCCACCCAATTGGCCACAGCCACCCAATTGGCCACGCCCACCCAGCACCCAATGATACATAAGTGGGTTTTGGGTTGCAGTTTGGGCATTCAGTCTCTAAAAGGTTCACCACCACTGATCTATGCTGTGAAATTCCCATTTCTGGAGGGAAATGAAAAATACCACATAAATTCTCCTTTGAACAATTAACACAAAGGTAAAGTAATCCCATTCTGCAGGATCTCTGCTGCCTGGCAGCTCTTAGAGAGAAAGTTGTGAGGTCAAACAGGAGGTTAAGAAGATCGTTTTCTGCAGACTATAGGAAATGGAGAAATTCTGTAAAGGAGAAAAACTAAGCTTTCCATTTCCCATCACCACTCTTCCAATAATCACCTTGGTGCTTTCAAAGGCATAAAGAAATTATCCCTGGAGTTGAGAAACCTGGTCTATGAGCAAAGAGGGAAGTTCAAAGCTGAAGGAGAAGGACATGGAAAGAAATTCAGAGTGGCAGAGAATGGAAAAGAAATTCACAGCAGGCAGAATCTTATTTTTGAAAAAGACGGCGAGGCCTCAGAAATATAAAGGTAATTCCACAGACTTCAGAGAAGCGGAGGGAGGCTGTTTTAAACCAACAAAAATTGCCCAAGAAGCATAAAATAAGTTTTAAGAGACAGGTCAAAAATATGAACATTAAATCCTCAAGAAAGATTGACAGACCTGTTTCGGTGTCCTTTTTCCTATATACCTCCCTCCCCCCCCTTTGTTTTTCCCCCCCTTTGGCTTCCCTGAGCAACTTGTCCCATTTCCCTACAAAAGGAAGAACAAGACAAGGTTTTTCTTTCTGTTTCAAGTGGTCTCTGTTGGGGGTGGCTTGTGCTCAGGCCAAGCTGAAGCCCTCATAGTGGTCGATGGCTTGAGTAAGTCGTGTGCTCAGAGTTTCTTTACTGCTGTACTTGGGCAAATCAAGCAGATTGTAGCAGGTGTGGGCCACCGGCAGGTACTGCTCATCACTGGAGGTGGACTGAATGACCATGCGCAAACTGGACATGCCGTAGATGGGGATCCGGTCGCTGCCAGTCAGGAACACTGGCAGAGGATACAAGGGACACCAGCAGAAAAAGCATGTCAGAAAGACATCAACAAAATAACACTTGTAGGAAAGCAGCACTGCCTCCCACCGCCTCCCTTCAAAGACCGCTTTCTGTTCCTCGGCAATGAGCTGCCCTTACTGCAATCCAGGTAGCCCTCTGTTTGCACTCATAATTGGAACCAAAATTTATGTCGTTAAGCAAGGCGGTTGTTAAATGGGTTGTTTCTGTTCTTATGACCTTTTTTCCCCACGGTTGCTAAATGAATCGCCGTAGTTTTTAAAGGATTCACTGAGTTGTTAAGTGAATTTGGCTTTACCTCATAGATTTTGCTAGTCAGAAGGCGGCATCGGAGGTCGCAGATGACAATCACATGACCTTGGGAAGCTGCAGCTGTTGTATATAATACGCTAGTTGCTAAATGCCCAAATTTGGATCACATGACCGTGGGAATGCTGCAAGGATTGGTTGCCACCGTGTCTTTGAACAGTCCCTAAATGAATGGTTGTAAGCTGAGAACTACCGGAAGTCCTTGACTTACAACCGTTCTTTTAGTGAGTGTTCACAGTTACAGTGGCGCTGGAAAAAGTGACTTATGACCAATTTTCACACTTACGATTGTTGCAGCACCCCCATGGTCACGTGATCAAAATTCAGACACTTGACAACTGACTCATTTTTATGACAGTTGCAGTGTCCCAGGGTCATGTGATCTCCTTTTGTGACCTTCTGACAAACAAAGTCAGTGGGGAAGCCATATTCACTTAACAACCGTTTTACTAACTTAACAACTGCAGTGATTCACTTAACAACAGTGGCAACCAAGGTCTTAAAATGGGGCAAAACTAAATAAATGTCTCGCTTAGTAAGATAAATTTTGGCTCAATTGTGGTTGTAAGTCAAGGACTACCTATACCTGTAATGATAGTCTGTGGAGTGCAGAAATACGAAACTGATATTCTTGCTCTTGCTAATTAGTTTTGACTTCAAAGCCTATAAATTGATTCATTTGTGTCACAGACTGCCCCCGTGCCTGTTCGTTATTTTTGCCTAGAGTTTTCCCATTGCCTCATTAACTCCACTTTCTATTTAAATCGACTCCACAAAGCACAACCATCCACAATGACCTCAGCCTATGGCAGGGGTAGGCAACCTTGGCTCTTTTATGACTCGTGGACTTCAACTCCCAGAATTCCTGAGCCAGCATGGCTCAGCTTGGAAGCCTCTCCTTTTCCCCTCAGCATGGCTGACTCAGGAATTCTGGGAGTTGAAGTCTACAAGTCATAAAAGAGCCAAGGTTGCCTATCGCTGGCCTATGATGTCTTGAAATCTTATCCTGAATTCCCAAAAGATATCAGACATTGACCAAAAAAAAAAAAAGATCTAGACAATCCTTTGATTTATAGTTACGAAGTTTGGGCCAATTTTACCCTTCTTCCATTCCTGTTAACCCTTCTGTTCCATAGACTGATCTTCCCAACCAACAAAATCTGTGACAAATATCTTCAAAAACCACGCCATTTCTGTTAGTCTGAGAATCTACCCTCTTTTAAAATAATCTAATATTTTGAAGAAAAAAAAACTTCAAACAAGAAGAAAACCAGCAGTCTCAAAACTTTCTCGTTGCTAGTTTTCTGCATGGAAGAGCAAGGAGGTTTGTCTAAGGATTTTTCTTGTATTTTCTTCACCGTTAAGCTAGAAGAATTGCCCATCACATGGTTGAAATCTATCTTCTGTGTTTTACTACCAAACCTCAATGAGAGAATCACTGGTCTGAACTGAGTCTCAGCTGAAGAAAATAGTTATAATTCTATATAAATACTTACAAAGAAATTTCTTCTTCTTTTCTAAAGGGAATTCGTGAAATGCTTCCCAGAACATTTGTACAGTAGGGTGTGTAGCTGAATAATCTCCCTTGTAACTTGCACTCTGTAAAACAAGATACAAAGGACAACATGTTGTTTAAGAACAAGAGGTCAATTATAATAATAATTTGAAATTATAATTTGGTGTGTTGGGTAAAGTTATGATTCTGAAAGATCAATTGCTCTCCTATATCCCCAATGCATTACAAAATAGTAAATGACTACTTAATAATTTTAGAACTGGACTGTGACATAAAATAGAAAGCAGGAGAGTAAAAAATAAATAAAATTGAACTCAATCCTTTACGGCCCAGATGTTGGTACTCCAAAGGGTTCAATATGCTCCACGTGAACATTTATATCAAAATATAAAATAATCACAACATTCTGCTGTGAAAAGGGATTGCCAATGGAAAAATTCAAAATTAGTGTAGTGTAAACCTCATACATAGTTAAAAACCTCACACGTAATTAAAAAGAAATATTGATAAGGTATCTTAAGAGTCTCTCTGTCATTTTGTCACAATACTCATACTTAATAGTAATAGCACTGAGACTTATGGGAAGGTAGAGGCTAAAACATATGAAGAATGGTTATAGGAATTGGGTATGTCTAGTCTAGTGAAAAGAAAGACTGGGGTAACATGATAGCAGTGTTCTAATACTTGAGGGGCTGCCACAAAGAAGAGGGGGTCGACCTACTTTCCAAAGCACCAGAAACAATGGTTAGAAACTAAGCAACCTAGAACAGGAGTCTTCAACCTTGGCAACTTTAAAACTTGTGGACTTCAACTCCCAGAATTCCTCAGCCAACTTTTTACAGTTGCCAAGGTTGAGGACCCCTGACCTAGAACTAAGGAGAAATTTCCCGACAGTGAGAACAACTAATCAGTGGAACAGCTTGCCTTCGGAAGTTGTGGGTGCTCCATCACTGGAGGCTTTTAAAAAAAGACTGGAAAGTCATTTTTCTGAAATGGTATGGAGCAGGGGTGTCAAACTCGTGACGTCATGTGACGTCGCGCAACGTATCAGGCTGATTTTGCCATTGCCGGCAATGGGGTGGACGCGGCTTCCGGATGACAGATCCGGCCCGCGGGCCAGCAGTTTGACACCCCTGGTATAGAGTCTCTGGCTTAAGTAGTAGGTTGGACTAGAAGACCTCCAAGTTCCCTTCTAACTCTATTATTTTATTCTTCTGTTATATAACCCTTTATAGTGCTTTTGCAGTGCTCTCTAAGTGGTTTACAGAATTAGCATATTGCCCCCAACAATCTGGATCCTCATTTTACCAACCTTGAAAGGATGGAAGGCTGGGTCAACCTTGAGCCGGTCAGGATCAAACTCCTGGCAGTCAGCAGAGTTAGCCTGCAATACTGCTTTTTAACCACTGCGCCATCATGGCTCAAGTAGCATTGTTTCCTTTTTTCATTGTTTATCCTATTGTCCCATTACTTTACTTGTTATGTTTACATTATTTTCATTTTTGCGTTCTTATTGTTGTAAGCCGACTAGAGTAGCCCCTTGGTGAGATGGGCAGCAAATAAATTTAAAAAATAATAAACTTTTTAACAAGGTGGGCGGCACGTAAATTTAATAATAATAAAATCTATGAGTGCTGTGACTTAATGAGGAATGGGGTGCTCTTAAGATGCATTCTCACAACGATGGTCAGATTAAAATGGTACATTTTCAGAAGAGAATTTTCCTGTCATGAGACATATACTTTCCTGGAGATCATAGCTGCCTACCTTAATTTCTAGACAAGTCAAGTCATGGAAGAAAGTCAAATGGGTGTCCACTAACCTCTTCCAGCTCCTTCCAGTTGTATTTGCTACTTCCCACGATCATAGCCCTTAGCTCAGTAGGCTGGAAGAGTTCAAACACCTTCCCACCACACACCTTCAAGAAGCCACTTGAGAAAGCAGTGTACCACTCATGCACGGAGACATTGAAGACGTAATTCACGTAGGCATCCACAAATTCCTGTCTGGGGGAATTAGAAGGAACACCGTGTTTCGTTATTTATATCATGGGTTGTTGGGGCTGCCACAACTTATTTCTCTCTAAATAGAAACGATCTTTGGCTCCATTGGTTGAGAAAGGCATAGTTTATTAGAGATCAAATGTACTGCAGTGTTGCAAAGCCAGAACTACGTTCAACTTTTGCCTCCCTTAACTGTCTCTCTTGGCTCATCCCCATGTAACCCATCAGGTTCAGGTAAGATGTTTTCATAATGGTCAGTTATGGTAGTTTGACATGCAGCTCCCTCCTCCTAGCGGGATGACCTTGAGGCAGCATCTCAAAGAGATACAGCCCTTACTTTCGTTTCCCCCTTCATTCCCCCTCCCTACAATTCATGGCAGTCTGTCACAGCACAGCAGTGAAGCATTTCTTCAACCTTATCATCACCCAATACTTACCTATTATTGTTCTGTACAGGTATTTTGTCTCCATCAGGAACAAGATTTTTCTGTTCCACTATGCCATAACTTTCTTTGCAGATCTGCATTTCCAATCCAAACAAACAATGGCAAAGCTGCTTTATACTTTTATCTCTTGAGCAACAACAGCATTATTATTTTCCACAAGGGACACATGTTAAACAAAACGTTTGGCTTTCCAACATATAACTAATGTTAAGATAGTCTTGGTTTATTGCAAATGACAATTTCTAATTTGATATACCAGGGATACGAAAAGGTCAACTTTGCAACAACTAAGTATACCATTCATTCCAAAATCGGTAGGACAGATTTTTGAAACCTGAAAATTCTGCAGAGGTATTAAAATCCCAGAATTCTCAACTATTTATTCAATCTTGAATTTTCAGGATTGTGATCAAAGGTGGGAACACCATTTGAGGTTTGCATTCTGAGACACTTTCAGTTATAATAATAATAATAATAATAATAATAATAATAATAATAATAATAATAATAATAATAATAATAATAATAATAATAATAATAAAGTTGGAAGGGACCTTGGAGGTCATCAAGTCCAACCCCCTGGTCAGGCAGGTAACCCTATACCATTTCAGACAAATGGCTGTCCAGTTTCTTCTTAAAAACTTCCAGTGTTGGAGCATTCACCGCTTCTGGAGGCAGGTTGTTCCGTTGGTTAATTATTCTAACTGTCAGGAAGTTTCTCCTTAGTTCTAGGTTGCTTCTCTCTTTGGTTAGTTTCCATCCATTGCTTCTTGTCCTGCCTTCAGATGCTTTGGAGAACAGCTTGACTCCCTCTTCTTTGTGGCAGCCCCTGAGATATTGGGAGACTGCTATAATGTCCCCCCTAGTCCTTCTCTTCATTAAACTAGACATACCCAATTCCAGCAACTGTTCCTTATATGTTTTAGCTTCCAGTCCCCTGATCATCTTTCTTGCTCTTCTCTGTACTCTTTCTAGAGTCTCAACATCTTTTTTACATTGTGGTGACCAAAACTGGATGCAGTATTCCAAGTGTGGCCTTACCAAGGCATTGTAAAGTTGTATTAACACTTCACGTGATCTTGAGTCTATCCCTCTGTTAATGCAGCCCAGCACTGTGTTTCCAGGCTGCCTCTGTCTCTTTTTCTCTCTGTGATAATCCAGCATGAGGAAGCAGGGCTTTCAAAAGAAGCATCCATGATCACGAATGAAAGAATTGCAAAGGGCTAATCAACCCCTGAAGTCCAACTCTCTGCTCAGTGCAGGAATCCAAATTAAAGTCCTAAATAGAAGACTTTCCAGAACCTGCTTGAAAATTCTCAGTGAGGGGATGGTTGGTCAAACATGTTCTACAGTTAAGACATTTTTTTTCTCTCCAATCAGAATCTTCTTCTTACGCTCCAGCCTGATAGTCAACAGATCCACTCCACATATTTTCAAATGTACAATTGAAAGGATCCCAAAATAGGGGGTTGGGAGAAGTGGGGCTGAGAAGAAAAACCACAGCAGCAAGGAGGGTACAATAATATGATTATCCAACATCTTTTTCTCTATATCCCAAATGCCCAGCACAAATATCCCTATTGCTCCCAAACCTCAATCTTAAGAGAGGTCATCTTCTCTTGATGTGTCTCCTGGAAATGGGAGAGAAAAGCTCACGTAGAAAAGCTCCTATTCCCAACCAATGTGGAACTAATATTGCTCTGAAGCGCTGGCGTTCGTTCAGCTTTCATAAACACAAAAAGTAGGAATGGGTAGTCCTTACTGTAAAGTAGAGGCAGAATGTTTCCTCAATATCTTCTCCAGGATAATCTAAAAGCTCTTGGAGGCTCCTAAACAGAAGGATAAAAATAGCAAGAAGGAAAAGGGAGCAATTTACTGGTAGCTGCAACTATGTATCTTGCTTCATTAGAGGTAGTCCTCACGTCATGACTACAATTGAGCCCAACATTTCTGTTGCTAAGTGAGACATTTGCCAAGTGAGTTTTGTCCCATTTTATCACCTTTCTTGCCACCTTTGTTGAGTGAATCACTGCAGTCGCTAAGTTAGCCACACGGTTGTTAAGTGAATCTGGCTCCCCCCACTGGCTTTGCTTGTCAGAAGGACGCAAAAGGTGATCACATGACCCCCGGACACTGCAACCGTCATAAATATGAGTCAATTGCCAAGCGTTTGAATTTTTATCGTGTGACCATGGGGATGCTGCAGCAGTCATAAGTGTGAAAAAATAAATCACTTTTTCCAGTGCTGGTGTAACTTTGGACATTGTAACTTTGGACAGTCATTAAATAACCGTTATAAGTTGAGGACTACCTGTACTGGAATTATACGTATCATAAATAGACTGCATACATGTACAGGTAGTCCTTGAATTAAAACATAATGCTGTCTGCCGGTCAAAGTCATACCTGGTGACAGTCATAAAACAGGTTGGTCATGTGATTGATTTGATTTTATGACCTTTTTTTGCAGATCCACAACTGTTAAGCAAATGCCACGGTCATTAAGCAAACCAGGGGTTCACTATGGGCACGCTTTTTCCAAAGAACAGAACATGACCATGGCTGTAAATGTAGGGTGATTGCTGAGCAACCAAGTGCAATAACTTAATCATGGAGGAAGGGGGAAGCTGCCCATTTGAGACTGAATATGTGTCTTAAGTACACACCAGGTAACTCTGTCGGAACTTCAAAAACAATTGGTCGTAAAACAAAGACCATCTGTATTTCACAATCTATATGACTCCCGGCAGTTCGGCAGTTCAAGTCTCACCGGCTCAGGGTTGACTCAGCCTTCCATCCTTCCAAGGTGGGTAAAATGAGGACCCAGATTGTTGGGGGCAATAGGCTGACTCTGTAAACCACTTAGAGAGGGCTGTAAAGCGCTGTGAAGCGGCATATAAGTCTTAGTGCTATTGCTATAATTATTAAAGTACAGAAAAAGCATGGCACAAATCAAGAGAAACCTCAAATTTCAGATGCAGTGAGAGAGAGAATGATATCTGTTGCCTTTTGTAGAGAAACTCAAAGAAGCACACAAAATGCTCCCTCTTGTTTTTCCTCACAACACTTCGTGAGATAGACTGGGCTACGAAAGAGAGAGAGGTTGGTCCCAAATCAACCAGTGAGCCAATCCATGGCAGACTAGAACCTGGGTCTCTTCATTCTTCATCCCCTGTCTTTGCCACTAAACCACCCTGGTCGTCAAATTGAGCACATGTGGGCACATACGATTCATTGCTCTTTTCCAAAGAGTATAGTCACTCGGTTTGCTTTTGATGTTACTTTGGGCGATGTAAAGCTTCGTCGCCAAGGAAATGTACTCAATTTCAGCCTAAAGTATACGTTTTTCAACTCTTTTCTTTTCCTCTAAAACAGTGGTTCTCAACCTTTTTAATGCCGCGACCCCAACCGGTCGTAAGTCGAGGACTACTCAACTGGTGCAGCACCGTTTGCAGAATGGGACTTTTGGTGGACTCACCAGGGCAGAGACAGCCTGGACAATTCCTATTGGCTTTTGAAAGCCAATAGAATTAGATTCTATTCAAGAGAGTCTATTCTATTGGCTTTCAAAATGGTCGTTCAACCCCAAATGGGGTCCCGACCCACAGGTTGAGAACCACTGCTCTAAAACAATCAGGACAATTGTAATTTTATGCTGATCATGCAAAATGGCCAGGATAACATCTACCTTCCTTCCAGTGGAGATAGCTCCTTCAGGTCATCCAGGTCAGGTTTCACATTCAGAAGCTTCTTATATAAAGCCAGTGGAAAGTGGAGGTCCACCACGGTGAAGTTGTAGATAGCCAGACCACAGACGATGCCAATTAGGTGAAACCAATTGTGCTCAACAAAACACTTTAGAAAAAAAGGAAAACAACATTAGGAGGAAGCCTGGAATTAAAATTATAGATTTCAGGTTAAAAAACTGCTAAATTTACTTCCAAGACCAACATTTGTTTTCTTCACTGGAATACTCCAGATGTGCTACCACACAGAGTAACCTGAACCCTAGAGAACATCAAGACTAAATAAACGCTCGAGTCAATTACAGATAGCTCTCGCCTTACAACCCTAATGGAGCATCCCCATCACAATCTTTAAGTCACTACAGTTATAAATTGGGTTGTAAGTGACCTGATTTTATGACCTTTTCGGCAACAGTTGCTAAGCAAATGGAATGATCGTAAAGCAGCTACCTTGGTCATGAAGCAAATGCCATGACCGTTAACCAAACCAATGGTTTGCTACGGGACATTTTTGCTGAAAACTGGAGATAAATGCTGGGATTTGGCAAAAACATCCTAACATATGGCCATGTGACTGTCTTCTTCTTCTTGTGCCATATCCGTTATCGGACGTTGGCGATCATGTTGGCGATTCTGTTTTTATCAGCAGCCGCACGAAAAAGTGCTGCTGAGTTTTGTCCAAACCAGTCCCTTAGATTTTGAAGTTCTTCTGCTTGGACTGTGGGAGACTGCAAATGGCCCTAAATGGCTGGCATGTGTTCTTGTGACTGGGGGGGGGGGGGAGAAGAGATTGGCCATTGGAACATCAGAACCAACTCATAAATAGTCCAGGGAGGCCCATTGTTACTTCAAACGGACGCTAAGCAAGGACTGCCTGAATCCAGAAGAATGCAGTAGCCATACTTACAGTATCTGAGAACCAGAGTAGATTGGAGTCTGAATAGCAGGTGAACATTCCATAGATGGGATTCAAGAGCTCTTTCAGAAGCAGGAGAAAGAATTCCTTTGTGACACCACCAGCATCCACAGCTTCCTCACCATCAAAGATCACCTACCAGAACATACTGAATTGATTTCAACAAGGGCAATTTTATTTAATGATTAAACAAAGAATACCGCCACCCACCTCACAAACGGTGCCTTAAGGTGGTTTGGAAGGGCAAAAGAGAATAACCAGTTGCCATTGCCCATGGAGATTCTCAGTCATCCAGGTCATGGTTATCCCAAAGGTGCTTTTTCAAGAGGCCACTGGACTTTGTTTTTCCGTGAAGACATTTTGCTTCTCATCCAAGAAGATTCTTCAGTTCTGAATTGAAGAAGCTTCTCAGAAGAGAAGGATAATGTCTTCAAGGAAAAACAAAGAAAGTCCAATTGCCTTTTCAAACAGCACCTTTGGGACAATAGATTCATTGTATTTCACATTGAAAAAAGTGGGGTGCCAAGCCACAACAGGGAGATCTCACCTCTCTGAGAAAGTCATCGTATTTTATTTTTTTTTAAAAAAATGAATGCTATCTCTCAAACAGGGTTACCCTTCATAGCGTTCTTCATTCCATGTGGAGACAATTATTTTGTATGGGTGAAGGAGTCCATCACGTGGAATTTCACCAGTAATCAGAAATAAAACATATTGAAGCAGCCCAGAGGCGAATTGGATGCTGCTGTGAGGATTAGATCACATTGACAGGAGCTTACCTTCAAAGGCTTTTTCAAGTCAACATCCGAATGGATGCTCAGTTCCCTCAAAGCATCGCCAACCAAGTTGCTCCTGCGAACGTGAACGACCAGGAATGGGCTTCGGGCCAGAAGAGGTTCCAGGGTGAGAAACATAAAGACATTCTGTAGATTTGCTCCACTAATGGCCACCTAAAAACATTTGAGAAATGGATTTCAAGTGATATTTCCCCAACAATTCCCCACCTCTTGTTCCAGTGACATCCAAGCAGAAGAGTTATGTTTCTTTAAGTAGAAAGAAATTGCTAGCCGGGTGGCACAGTGGTTAGAATGCAGTATTACAGGCTAACTCTGCCCACTGCCAGCAGTTCGATCCTGACTGGCTCAAGGTTGGCTCAGCCTTCCATCCTTCTGAAGTCAGTAAAATGAAGGCACAGATTGTTGAGGAGAATATGCTGACTCTGTAAATCATTCAGAGAATGCTGTAAAGCTCTATGACAGGGATCTTCAAACTTGGCCCTTTTATAACTTGTGGACTTCAACCCCCAGAATTCCTCAGCCAGGGATGCTGGCTGAGGAATTCTGGGAATTGAAGTCCACAAGTCATAAAAGGGCCATGTTTGAAGACTCCCTGCTCTATGAAGTAGTATATAAATTGCTAAACCATTATAATGAGGCAATCTCAAAAGCTGAGGATATTATTGGGTTTGGATATATCCTGGGCTTTAAATATTAATCTTCTAAAATAGGAAGCAGTTGCTTAGACTCCCAACTTTGGCAACTTCCAGTTGGGTGGACTTCTCAACTATGACCCTGCTGCTTGTGAAGTTCTTGTGCCCATCTCACCCATTTGGCATCTGCCAAGACTGGAAATACTGCCCACAGATAGAAAGAAATACAACCTCAATACTGAATTCCTCCGTTCTTTTCAGAGCTAAACAACAGGAAGAATTACATGGGTTTGTCAAAAATAGATCATGCCAGACAAATCTTATTGCATTCTTTGACCAAGTGACAAAATTAGTGGATCAGAGGAATGCTGTGGACATAATTTACTTGGACTTCAGTAAGGCATTTGATAAAGTAGATCACAACCTACTACTTGACAAGATAGAAAAATGTGGGGTAGACAGAACCACCACCAGATGGATCCGTAGCTGGCTGACCGGCCGTACTCAGCGAGTGGTCCTCAATGGAACTGCATCTATATGGAGGGAAGTGTGTAGTGGGGTGCCCCAGGGCTCTGTTCTGGGCCCAGTACTCTTCAACATCTTCATCAACGATTTGGATGAAGGGATAGATGGGGAACTCATCAAATTTGCAGATGACACCAAGCTGGCAGGAATAGCCAACACTCCAGAAGACAGGCTTCAGGTACAGAAGGATCTGGACAGACTTGAACACTGGGCACTAACTAACAAAATGAAATTCAATGGTGAAAAAAGCAAGGTTCTACATTTAGGCAAGAAAAACCAAATGCACAAGTACAGCATAGGTGGCACCATGCTCAATAGTAGTAACTGTGAGAGGGACCTCGGAGTCCTAGTAGACAATCAGTTAAATATGAGCCAGCAGTGTGCGGCAGCTGCCAAAAAGGCCAACACAGTACTAGGCTGCATTAACAGAGGGATAGAATCAAGATCACGTGAAGTATTAATACCACTCTTCAATGCCTTGGTAAGGCCACACTTGGAATACTGCATCCAGTTTTGGTCACCACGATGTAAAAAAGATGTTGAGACTCTAGAAAGAGTACAGAGAAGAGCAACAAAGATGATTAGGGGACTGGAGGCTAAAACATATAAGGAACGGTTGCTAGAATTGGGTATGTCTAGTTTAACGAAGAGAAGGACAAGGGGGGACATGATAGCAGTATTCCAATATCTCAGGGGCTGCCATAAAGAAGAGGGAATTAAGCTATTTTCCAAAGCACCTGAAGGCAGGACAAGAAGCAACGGGTGGAAACTAATCAAGGAGAGAAGCAACCTAGAACTAAGGAGAAACTTCCTGACAGTGAGAACAATTAATCAGTGGAACAGCTTGCCTCCAGAAGCAGTAAATGCTCCAACACTGGAAGTTTTTAAGAAGAGACTGGACAGCCATTTGTCCGAAATGGTGTAGGGTTTCCTGCCCGAGCAGGGGGTTGGACTAGATGACCTCCAAGGTCCCTTCCAACTTTACTATTATTATCTATGTGCTATAGCTTTGCTGGCTGAGGAATTCTGGGAGTTGAAGTCCACAAGTCTGAAAGTTGCCAAGGTTGCCTGTGCTAGAGAGCAAAACTTTTTCTAATCATCAACACTTTGAGCTGTAATTATTCTTCTTCCCCTAACCCTAACCCTATCCCCCCAAGATGTTCGTATGCAAATAGGAAGAAAGAAGGGGAAAGGAATATTTCTCTATCTTTAAAAATATTCTATTCATGGTTATGGGACCCTTTCATATTAGACATCCAACAAGCAAAAACCTAAAAAATATATTAAATAAGATTAAAAAAGGATTGTTTTCGAATCAAATCCAGCCTTCTTGAATACAACAATTATACAGCTCTTAATGGATAGCAACACACTGTGTGAATGTTGAAAGACACAGAGTCCGGCCTATTTGCTGGTATGTTGGCTACTACCAGAAACGTGTTCCGATAATTTTTAGCAAACAACAAAGCCAAGAAGATGGCTTCACTCTGGCAGTCTAAAGTTTGATGTAGACATGAAAGGAGGAGGAGGAGGAGGAGGAGGAAGAAGAGGAAGAGGAGGAGGAGGAAGAGGAGAAGAAGAAGGAGGAGGAGGAGGAGGAAGAGGAGGAGGAGGAGGAAGAGGAGGAGGAGAAGGAGGAGGAGGAGGAGGAGGAGGAGGAGGAGGAGGAGGAGGAGGAAGAGGAGAAGAGGAGGAGGAGGAGGAGGAGGAGGAGGAGAAGAAGAAGAAGAAGAAGAAGAAGAAGAAGAAGAAGAAGAAGAAGAAGAAGAAGAAGAAGAAGAAGAAGAAGAAGAAGAAGAAGAAGAAGAAGAAGAAGAAGAAGAAGAAGAAGAAGAAGAAGAAGAAGAAGAAGAAGAAGGAGGAGGAGAAGAAAGAGACTTTTCTATGGAAATCTCCAGTTGGGGAAGACACACCGTGTTGACCTAAAAAACCTAACACACCTGTTTCCTAGGATGGGAGACCACCAGAAGATAAATAAGTTTGTAGGCTTACAGTACAATGGGAAAAAAAACAAGGTTCTGGGATGCCTCTTCTATATTGTTGCCACAAAAATCTACATGTCTATGAAGTTATTAAGAGACGCTCAACTTTAAGGAACTGAGACTACTAGTCTTTAAGACATCTTGTAAAAACCAGTTAACTTGTCTTTTTGCCTAGGTTCTCTCCAAATAACCTCATCAGTGCCATACAGGTTGGCAGGGAAGATACCACTGCCATAATTTCTTTTTCAAGCAGTCTTTTATTTGGAGGAAAATAAAGTAGCTTATTCTTTGCACTAGCGCCATCTCCTGGGTAATGCAAACAGTAACTCAGGAATGAATTCCTATCCAGCAAAAGGCAGAATTCAGCTGTGGATGCTGCAAAATTATTGTTCTGCCTTCCAGGATCGCTTCTGGCACCACAGTATTTTACACATACAGTGTATAAAGTGTAATAATTTCCAAAAAGGACTGCATAAGATTCCACTTTGCCTCCTGGCTGTTTGTTAGAAATACAGGCGTACATGGTTAAAGAACAAAGCGTCCCATTTTTTTTTTTTACATTTTCTACCCTGGAGATAAATGTTTAAAGAAAATAAAAGAAGACACAACCAAGTTTTTAGCAAGTACACATTGTCTTAAAAGACAGCCTTACAGTATTAACAGAGTGCATAGTTACAACAGCACTAAAAAAAAGTGACATGACCAATTTTCACACCTACTGTATGATCATTGCAGCGTCAACGTGATCAAAATTCGGCACTTAACAACTGAGACAACTGTATTCATGAGAGCTGCATTGTTGTGGGGTCACGCGGTCCCCATTTGTAACTTTCTCAGCAGGCTTCCCAAAAGCAAAGTTAATGGGGGAAGCTACATTCACTTAACAATCATGTAATTCATTTAACAACAGAGATTTCCTTAACAACTGTGGCAAAAACGGTCGAAAAAATGAGATGCAACTCCCTTAAGACCTATTTTGCTTACCAATGGAAATTTTGGGCTCAATTATTGTCATAGGCTTAGGACTACCTGCACATTGTTACAATGGTGCGTATCTCTCATATAAACAACAATCTCCTTGTGCAACAATGATTTGCTACTTCGTCAAACAATGAACTAGAACTAGAAACGTTAAAAAATGATGCTATGAATCAACTCTTATTAAACCCACAATCCATTTGAGATATTGTCTAGATCAGGGGTAGGAAACCTTGGCTCTTTTATGACTCGTGGATTCAACTCCCAGAATTCCTGAGCCAGCCAGATATATTTTTTTATTTACAATGCTTTGTTCTGATCATCAAACACTTTAGTAAACCTACAATCGGAGAAATTTGATCTGCTTTTCTTCTGTTTAATTATATACTTTCAGAATCTGAAATTTTATCACATTTCCACTAAAGATGGGCTCAGGATATGCAACTTTTTTTTTGAGATGAGCTCCTATTTGGCCTGCTAAGATGCTGCACTCCAGGAAATAGTGGAAATAGTGAGTGTAGCCACACACAAAAATTGATTTCATTTAATTTACATGTATTATAATTATTACAATTCGTCGCACAGCTAGATGTTCAAACTGGATTTGGCATTTTTGTCCACCTATCAAGACCTTTCCAAGGACTTGGGATAGGCAGATATGGATCGCTGATGGTGTTAAAGGTATCATCACAGGATGTAAGCTGTTCTGAGTAAAGTTGTCTTTTGTAATTGACCAATGGTGATTTTGTCAATGAAAAGACGATGCTATATTTTCATAATTTTCCCTTTCTGTCACACTAAAAAACACAAAACTTTGGGAGTCACGTCCAAGATAGGAATAACTGTAGGTGACTCAGATTGTGCACAACTGATGTAAATGAAGATCCATCTATTTCCAAGGCAAATCAATCCATCTAGTTTAGCCTGGATTGAATGAAGAAGCTAACGTTTCCAGCTGATTGCCCCCAAATACATTTGTGATGTTGGTTAAGGCTGATGCAGGTGACCAGTCATCCCGTCTGGAGGAGCAAATGTTTCCCAAAGGAAAAGATAGATAGACTGAAAGAAGGCAGCATACCTGCATCTGCAGTTTAGCATCTGTCTGCAACATCTTTGTCTTCGCTTGTGCATCAAAGATAAAAGGATAAGAGCAGAGAGTCACAGAATCCTGGAAAGAAGGAACAGTTCAATTCAATGGTGGCAGGTTCAGATTCCAGTGAGAACTGCTTGGGCAAAGAGGAACTGGAATATTTACCTGCATGATAGATGGTCTTGCTTTCTGCATAAGGGAAAAGGGAGAGAAGAAATATAAACAGCATGAGCTTCCAACAAGTGCATCATCAATTAACTTTCTATTCTACTCTTCCTCTAAAGCAGGGATCTTCAAAGTTGGCCTTTTTATGACTTGTGGACTTCAGCTCCCAGAATTCCTCAGCCAGCGTGCCTGGCTGAGGAATTCTGGGAGTGGAAGTCCACAAGTCATAAAAGGGCCAACTTTGAAGATCCCTGCTCTAAAGAATGGTATACATACATATATCAATGGGATACATACATGTTATTCTTCCTCTTAGACCAACTCTGTTGAGTTGGTCAGGCTGAAGTCCACAAAATTTGTGGACTTCAACTCCCAGAATTCCCCAGCCAGCATGGCTGGATGGAGAATTCTAGGAGTTGAAGTCTATAGGTTTTAAAGTTGCAAAGTTGGACACCCTGGTTTAGATATCCTCACTCTTTCAGAAGAATAGGTTTAAAAAAATGCCAGTACCCTACATCTCCTTTAGGAGACTGGAGACTAAAGCATATAAAGAACGGTTGCTAGAATTGGATATGTCTAGTTTAATGAAAAGAACGATTAGGGGTGACATGATAGCAGTGTTCCAATATTTGAGGGACTACCACAAAAAAGAGGGGGTCAACCTATTCTCCAAAGCACCTGAAGGCAGGACAAGAAGCAATGGGTGTAAACTAATCAAGGAAAGAAGCAACCTAGAACTAAGGAGAAATTTCCTGACAATGGGAACAATTAATCAGTAGAAAGACTTGCCTTCAGAAGTTGTGGATTGGACAACCATTTGTCTGAAATAGTATAGGGTTTCCTGCCTGAGCAGGGGGTTGGACTAGAAGACCTCCAAGGTCCCTTCCAACTCCGTTATTTTGTTCTGTTCCTTTAATTTATTAACTACTGCTTTGCCTCTTCAATCTATTGCACATTTTCCTTAACTATTTTACATAGTCTAGGTAGTCAAATCTTGAAACAAAATGATAGGTATACAAGTAACTTGCATAAAAACTTTTCAGAATTCCCAGTTGGGAAGTGTTTAATTTTGATTCAGGGTGCACAGAACAATCTAATTTAACTAGTTCCAGGAGCATGATTTAGCTTGGCAATTAAACAAAACTTCTTACCACTTTTGCTTGATTCAAAAACCACATTAGGTAGTCTTCTTGAATATCTATCAGATTAGAAATCTCTGGGATATAAAATTTGTCATATTCTATGTGGTTAGCTTTCTGATTTACCTGATATAGAAAAAACAAATACATCAGAATAACGCAATAAACAATTTCTTCATAGAATCGTTACAAATTCCCAAAAGGCTAACTGAAAAAAAGGAAGACTGCCAGATTTGGTTTCTCATTTAGTGTCCTCTACAGGAAGTCTTTGACTTATGATCTCAATTGGGACCAGAACATCCATTGCTAAGAAGGGCGATGTCGAATCAAGCGTGCCTGATTGTACAACCTTTCCCCCACCCCCAGTTATTAAGTGAATTATTGTAGTCAGTTGCCAAGCACCCGGATTTTGATCATGTGACCATGAGGATGCTGCCATTGTTGTAAGTCAGGGATCTTCAAACTTGGACCTTTTATGGCTGTGGACTTCAACTTCCAGAATTCCTCAGCCAGCATGCCAGTTGAAGTGCACAAGTCATAAAAGTGCCACGTTTGAAGACTCCTGTTATAAGTGGTCATAAGTTACTTTTTTCACTTATCTTTGGATGGTTGCTAAACAAATGGTCATAACTGGAAGACTGTCTACAGTTTGCCTATCAATTTGCACAATATTTTTTCAAAGTCAACACAAAAATGCATTCCTGTTTTCAACAATTTTTCACATAATTTTTCCTAATAAAATAGAGTATTTATTCATTATCTGTCCTCAATAAATATTTTTTCTTTCTTTTTTTTTTTTTTTGCCAAAGTATCTTGCACAATTTGGAAATATATAAACACTGACATTCCTTCTTTCATTTCTCAAATAGGTTCAGGAAAGGCAAAGTAGGTATATAATGACAGCAATCAAAATGCCACTAAGAGTCCTAAAATCAATTTACAGACAGATTATTCTAAAGAAAATCTATCCATGTATTCGTTCAGAGCTAAACTGATTTGATGGCACTTAATCAACTAACCAACCAACCAACCAACCAACCAACCAATCAATCTATTTTTCACTCAGTTTAATTTAAAAGCAGCATTTACTAATAATGGAACCAAAAAGCTGTAGACAATAAAATTATGGCAATACTGTCCACCACAAATCTTATGCCCTTTGGCAAACACAAGTTATTGCACCATATATGTAGATGAATATTAATCTACATAGTCAAATATGCAAGGTGTTCAAATTTATACCCTGCATTATATATTTTGCAAGTATGGAAAACATACAATTCAGGAGTTAAGGTATTCTATTTATACAATGTAAACCTGCAATGTACAAATATTTGGTGGAAAAACAACCAGGGGCATCACCATCATTGAAGACCAAGGTATAGACTCAGAGAATTATTTTCTTACTTTATGTAATTTCTCCAGAAGTTTTAATGCAGCTGTGATGTAACTGCTATACAAGACCGGGATTTGCAGTGTTTTTTTTCCATTCAAGAGATAAACCACGGCATCTTTATAGACATCCACTAACCTCAAGAAATACTCTGGACATACCTGAGACCACCAGTTTTCTAAATAAGATTACATAAAGCAAAATGGGTTATTGATTTCAGTATTATAATCATGGAAATTGAATGAAAAACTAACGTGATGGCTGCTGTCCTCATTTTTTATCTGCAGAATCTATGAAAGTGTTTCACAGCCTTGATAACTTCATGTGTGGATTTTATCTCCCAGAATTCTGGGAGTTAGCTGGCTGGGGAATTCTGGGAATTGAAGCCCACATATCTTCAAGCTGCCAGAGTTGAGAAACACTGGTCTAGGATCTCAAGTATCTTCAATGTGATAAGAGATGTACTTTTGGAAAAAAAATCAAAAATATTAGATGTAACTCAATCTTAGAGAAGTGAATCCTCCTGAATCAAATGGATTTAATTGCTACATGAACAAAGACTTCGCTCTTAAATTTGAATGCTTTCCATAAGTTTTAACATTATCATGTTGTTGAAATGCCTGAACAGGAAAAAAAACAGTCCATATTGTTTATGGACTCTGTATTGGTATGTGGAATCCTAAAATGGATCACAAAAATCCAAGAAAAAAAATGGACTGCAAATTGGATTAGCGATTCTTTTGGCGCTAAGGAATATTCTATCAAGCACCAGGGAAACCAAGAGATCCAGGCAGTTCAAATGTGTATAAATATTTATTGTAAGCTTAAACTCTCTACAAGAATCTGACTTTATTGTAAGCTTAAGCTCTCTACAAGAATCTGACCAACTAACGGTCATGGGAAATTAACGGGTGTTAAGAATAAAACGGAATTCAAGCTGAGCTGGATTTAGATCTCTTGTAGGCACGAAAGGACTCGTGACTGATGACATGTTTGATTCCTTCCTCAGGCTCAGCCTGGTCATATCCTACATATTAATATCTAAAAAATAGTTCTACATCATTGAAAAGCATCCTTCGCCCTGGTATTAATCAGGCAACAGCAATGCACCGTATTGCAAAGGGGACACTAAAATTTCTTAAAAGGGACAGTGAAATTTGGCATTATTTCCTTCACTATTTTGGAAATCATTCATTTGGTGCCTCCTGTTTAGCTTCTTGATTCAACTTTCATCAACCAAACTCCTCTTTTATATTTGCATTATGAAACAAAGATGAGGGAATGGGTAATTTGGAAGAGATCTGAAGGACACTGGATGAGACTATTTGCCTGCATTATTATTGTGAGGTTAAAGCATCAGTTAAGGTTCTCAATGATAATAAAAATGCAAGGAAATGGAGCAATTTGAAAGTGCCATCTAAAAAGCAACTTCTAGCTGAAGAAAATGAGTCCTGTGAATTGTCCACCAGTGGATCTCTCATTTCATCTCATCTATTTATTTCTGACCTCTTAAAAAAGCCCTTTTTATCCCCTCCCCCCACCCTGGAAAGATGTGTTGGTTACTCCACATGCTAGTAAGCTTGAGGTGATGGTCAGGATGGGTGAAATGGAAGGTGATGTCATAAAAGCACTATTGACAATGTCCACAACCAAGAAAGGCCACAATATTATTACGTGGTCTCTACAGGGACGTCCTCTCCCCAAGAAAGTGCTGTAGACGTTGCATACAACCTAGCTCAACCCAAGTTAATCAAGGAATTTAAGAGAACACTTAACTGCCCTGAAGAATAATTGGCAGTATTTCCTGGCATTTTCACAAAGTTGATCTAAAACATATTTGTAATTTATTTTGTCCCCAAATCAGTGTAAGATAGTCCCCTCCCAGAAAAGAGGTGTACATCTTCTACCTAAAACTTTACTGGGGTTTTTGTCCAGACGCAGTATGGCCGTTGCCAAAGGAAGCGTTAAGGTTACATAATATTTTGAGTCTTGAAAGAGTGGGAATTCCGGAAGAATCAGGTAGATTCTCATGGCTTCAACATCTGGCGGGGAGCTAGGCAGCTGGGGGATCAAAAAGCTTTCAAAGCTCTTCAAGATCTGGAAAAAGAAGAAAGAACATTAGGCATGGATTATAGCTCTTACTACTAGCTCTTCTATCATGCTTGTAGTTTCTAGGACTTAATACAGCTTAATTTCAGGTAGCAGGAATTCAACCCAAGAAACTGAAACAGGTAAGTTATTTACTTGGTCCTTTGAATACTATGAAGACATGAGACATCTCAATTGTTCTACAATCCTATCCAAAAAGAGAAGGGAGAGGGGGGTTTTGCCCCTTTTAGTTCCCAAACAGAAACTTTGGTACAAAACTATAACCACATTCAGTTGAAGTCAATTTTAACACTTTGCACAACCAGGCCATATAAAATTCGCAATGATTTGGAGCACAGTAGCTATGTATGGTTATATACAGTAAGTCTACTTGGTCCCAGCATATCTTCACCATACTGTAAACACAGGGAATCTAGGAGTAGGGCTTTGTGCTTTTTCTGCTGGCAGTATGGTGTCAACAGGGTAATGAATGAGCTGTGACACAATCCACCCAACTACTTTACCCACTGGAATGGCACTGATAGCACCAAATTAAAAAAAAAAGACTAAGAAGCTGCATGACGTGGGTCTTATACAAAATGGTTTGGTAAAATGAAATATTTCCTGCAGGGAAACATCAGAGAAAGAAAGACAACATTTTTTTTTCTCAATAAGTCATTGCTACAGTTTTGGCAAGTGAGGGAATTTATGTGTATATATGCACATAGGCACACTCCCTTTCCAATGTTCTATCACTCTTTTTCTTGTGCAAGCAACATCAGAAGTTGACACAATCTATAGCAAAGAAGCTTTGAGCTGAAAGAACAGTGATAAACCTTTCATGATCAATCAAATCCATGATATTAGCCGAATATCTTTCCGAATGATTTTTGGAGAGTTTCCCAGCAACTGCCTTCCATTGTCAACTCAATTATCTCCCCAAAATAATTCCTAGGACAATTTTAGAAAAAATCAACAAGCTCATTTTCCCAGTTCATAATAATGCTAGGACAGATTCTAAAAGACGAAATCTAATATATGTGGAATACATCAGATGGGAAGGGAAGGCTAAGTGCACACATTTTTATAACTACAAGCCTCAGTTTGAAGGACTATTATGAACAAAGAAATTAAGTAAATGGAGATGGAAATTCGCTCATGGGAAAGGGCAAAGGGAGACAAATGTCTACCCAGAGTCACTTAGGGGAGATGGAGAGCACAGAAATTTGATAGGTAATAAATAAATAAATTAAAGAATAGTGTTATATTATGTATAAGGTAAAGGAGATGGCCTTGAGAGAGATATGTAGGAATGTACCTTTAAGCAACAAAGGCTGAAGCATTTTAAAAGTCCAAAACAGTCATAAAATTCAGAAGTGTCTTGGGCAAACACTTCCCTAATTCACTGAACTATAAGGAGGGGAAGGAGGTACAATACCATCAGAATTGCAAAATCCTGTTATTATAGCCAATCTTTATAAAAGTTTTAGCCTTCTTGTGAAATTTATTTCCTGGTCCGGTTTACTTAGTGGAGATGACATGCTGTCATAATATAAGCCCCACTTACAAAAAAGAATTTGAGCTTATGTCACAATGGTGACATAACAATTAATCAGTGGAACGACTTGCCTCCAGAAGTTGTGGGTGCTCCAACACTGGAGACTTTTAAGAAGAGATGGAACAATTTGTCTGAAATGGTATAGGGTTTCCTGCTTGAGCAGGGGCTTGGACTAGATGACCTCCAAGGCCCCTTCCAACCATGTTATCCTGTTATTTTTGGTGCATCACTGCTTTCATCATATTGATAAAATGATTCTGTAGGTATCTGTGTGGTAAGTCCTCAAAAGCTCAAGCCTGGATTTGCTTCATGGGTGGATGGATACTGATTTGGACTTGTTTTCTAAACTCTTTTTTTTTTTTTCAAATTTCAATACTGTCAGAAAAAAAACAATAGGATGAGTATCCAGACATGTGTTAGAGGTAAAATGCATAATTCTGTTTTCACTTATCAAGGGAAAACAATTGATATGATTGTGCCAGAATTAATCCTAACAGTGTAATTTGCACTAATGCACATTGACGTTTCTGTTCAAGCTTTCTCAACCTAATGTCCCCTAGGCCAAGGGTAAGCAACCTTGGCTCTTTTATGACTCGTGGACTTCAACTCCCAGAATTCCTGAGCCAGCAGGGGAGTTGAAGTCCACGAGTCATAAAAGAGCCAAGGTTGCCTACCCCTGCTCTAAACATTCTCACAATCTACCAGGAAGCAAGTTGAAGAAAAGAGTTTAAACTTAAGTTTTCTTCTTAAAAACTCTCAGAAGGAAGCAAACGTTTGCCTTAACACTTCTATAGGAAGTTTCGGTACCTGGTCACGCAGTGTAGAATGCTGAGATGTCATTAGCTTATTAAACATCACTCTGGTGCAATTCAAGTCAATCCCTGGAATTTTGGGACTCGTTTTAAAATGTTCATCTATTCTAGAAAAGAATTTAAGCAAATTTATATCACGTTTTCTTTAAAGCGGAGATTTTAGGCATGCAATGTACTGAATGTAAAAGCAGCAAGCCAGTATTTTAGCTTACAACCTATAAATATGTCTGACCAAAAGTTCTCATACAGATATCATTTACAGGAGTGGAATCTTATCCAAAGTAGCAAAAAGTCTCTGATCAGGAACCAAAAATCAAGGAGTTTTTATTTTTCTCAGGATTATTCTATTATTCAGTCAGCTACAATGGCTTCAAATGTATAAAGTTCAACTCAAAATGTTTTGAATTCAGAGCATATTTTCCATAAATGGAACAATCAATGGATTCAAAGCAGCTTGAATTTAAAGTAGTTCACCCTTCCTTAATAAGGAGATATAATTTTATATTTTCTCAAATTTAGGTCTTTTTTTCCCTTTAGACTTGCTTAGTTTTGAAGGCAGAAACACTATCATACCAACAAAAAGCAAAATGTAGTCCTTAGCCTAGGGCAAATTGTGCCCACAAGTGGAATAAATGGAACAACAAATTGATCCACTAAAGCAATTCTGATAGGTCTCTTTATGATGGAATGGAACAAATCTTAATACCAAATGACACTCTCTTATTAGATATGAGGAGACCAGCAAAAGAATCTGCAACATTACAAATAACATAACTGAATCGTATATATCTGATGGATTGTATTAGATATCTCCACAACTTAGTGTCTACAACAGGGGTGTCAAACTCGCGACATCACGTGACATGTCGCGACGTATCAAGACTTTTTCCCCATTGCTGGAGCTGGGGTGGGCACGGTTTCGGCATGACGCGTCCGGCCTATGGATCGGCAGTTTTGACACCCCTGGTCTACAATATTTTGTAATGAAAGAGAATTTTCATGAGTTTTAGTACCAAATACCAACCTCATGCTTCTTATTGGTGAGCTTGCAAGTAAACTATTGAGTCAGTTATTAGCAGCTGCAACTACAGCCGATGTTCTCTTAACAGGCTCCACTTAATCACATATTTTTACCAATTCCCTGCTAAAACATACAGATACATAGAGCTAAACATAGCTTCTGAAACATAAGTACTATTGCCATAACAACACAGACAATAGAGATAAGTAGTCTCTGGAAGTCCATGTCAACCAGTTTGGTCACAGAAACTTCTGGCAACATGGCAGTTCAGCCAAAATCTTACTGCCCCATCTCCATGAGACCCATTGCTTCCCCCCCCCCTTTTTAAATCCTTCCTCTTCCTTGTATAAGAAAGCTATGGAACCAGAATAGTCTAACACTGAATATAATGCAGAATATTTTTGAACAATGGGCTCAGAGGTTATTTTTAAATACTGCCAACAGAGACATCTGCCTGTATGGAAAGATTGTGTCTAAAATATATTATGACAGAGGATCACATTCTACCTAATTAAGATTGTGTTGAAAATGGATTTACAAATGACAGACTACAAGAATGAAATGGAAAAAGATGTTATATTAGATGTAAAAAAATAAACTGGCTGATGGCTTAATAATTAAAGAGGGCATGCAAACAATAAACCAAGAGAGTAACTTGGATAATTTTAATCAAAGGGGAAGCCAGATTTCACTTAACAGCTGTGTTACTAACTTAACAACTTCAGTGATTCACTTAATAACTGTAGCAAGAATGGGGCAAAGTCCACTTAACAATTGTCTCACTTAGCAACAGAAATGTCACTTAACATTGCAAAAACTAAAATGGAAAGTTAGCCAAATATTTCTTTATTCCATTTTAAGCTACTTACTTCTTTTCAAGGAAGCTTCCGTTCCAACAAGCTGCTGAAGATAAGATCTGCACCACCTCGCTGCTTCGCACGGGCAAAATGCAAGTAAGCAAAAGACAAGGAAACTAGTTAAAGATTATATTGTTTAGGAATCACATATAATTTTTCGTACACTGCCTTAATTTGCTTGTCCATGGTTTCCTGACATAGCTGAAATTGGCTGTGTTTACGTAATAAGCTATAAAACACTATTCACAAATTCTAACAGAGTTCATATAACATGATACCCAAAACTAATCAAATCAGATTATGGATTAATGTAGTAACTGAACCTAATTGTTATTCACCTTTTCTCCTCTAAACTTTTTAATTGCCTTTACTCTTAACACACTGACTTAAAACATACCACACACAACTAATCTAGAAATGTCAAATGGGTTCTTTAGTTAATTTGATAAATGATTTAAAATATTTGGGCTAAAACTCTGATGGCTCAGAAAAAAATCTTTATGCCACACCATTAAAACATGTTGAAGATGTTGACACCATTCCTCTAAATTATACCCTTACGTATGAGTTAAGTATTATATCATTAAGAGATCCGGTTTGGTATAGTGGTTAAAGTACCAGGCTGAACATGGGATACCATGAGGTCAAAAGAGCTGCTAAACCACCAATCCACAATCTGTGAAACTGATTATCATTTGGAAGATAGTCTAGGTCAGTGGTTCTCAACCTGTGGGTTGGGACCCCATTTGGGGTCGAACGACCATTTCATGGGGGTCACCAAACAAGGCTGTCTGCCATTTTTTCCCCCTTTTCTTTGGCCACGCCCCTGGCACCTGGTGATGTATAAGTGGTTGGGGGTCACCACAACATGGGGAACTGTATTATGGGGTCACGGCATTAGAAAGGTTGAGAACCATTGGTCTAGGTGGATTCAACAAGTTAACAAAGAAGATATCACCAAGAAAGCCATAGATTATGTCCTTGCCCACCATCACAATAATTCTTTACAAATTGAATGGAAGTGAACCTACTTCACTGAATTAGAGTTATTTCTTTCACAAAGCTTTTGCCTCCACATGTCTATTGTGTTGTCATTAATCAAACAGGTGTGGTCACTTTGATTTACGGTCCGGAAATCATCAGCTGGTAGAGAATTCTGTAAGAAGGCGCAGATTTCAAAGAGTGTTTCACTCTGAACGGGAGGAGCACCAGAGACATCTGGTGCTTTTGTTACAGTGAGAGTCACTCCCCGGGGTTGGAGGCAAGATTAGGCCTGGAGTCCTCTCTGTGGGCACTTTTCCCCTCCTCCAGGCAAATGTGCAGTTCATAATCCTGGACAATGTACACATAGATTACAGGTAGTCCTTGACTTACTTTGTTTAGTGACTATTCAAAGGACTGAAAAAGGTGACTTATGATGTTTTTCACACTTATAACCATTGCAGCATCCTCATGGTCACGTGATCGAAATTCAGATGCTTGGCAACTGATTCATATTTATGACGGTTGCAGTGTCCCGGAGTCAGGTGATCTCCTTTTGCAACCTTCTGACGAGCAAAGTCAATGGGGGAAGCCAGATTGTCTTAACAACCATGTCACGAATTTAACAACTGCAGTGATTCATTTAATAACTGCGGCAAGAAAGCTGGTAAAATGGGGCAAAATTCACTTAAATGTTTCACAGCAACAGAAATTTTGGGCTCAGTTGTGGTCATTAAGTCGAGGACTGCCTGTATATACCATTTCCCCACACTTCCTTTTTCGTGGATTCTTCCCAATTTCACTTCATGCATCTGTCGATTCTTTATTCCAAGGTCTCTCAATTTTGGCAACCTCTGGGACTTCAACTCCCAGAATTCCCCAGTTGCCAAGGTTGAGAAATACTGCCTTACTCCTTTAATTGCATTTAGGACTAAAGCAGACATGTCAAACTCGTGAGGTCACGTGACATCACGCAACATATCGGGACAGTTTTGCCATTGCCAGCAATGATGCATCCGGCCCACGGGCCGGCAGTTTGACACCCCTGGACTATAGATTCAAGCCAGATAATTCTCTGTTCTTATGGATCTTGGTTTTGCAGCTGAAAGTTGCAGAGAGAGAGCAATTTAGCATTGGTGCAAGTGATACTGTGATACTGGTGCTGTGATACACTTTGCTGCCTCTTCTTTCAAGATTGGGAATTATTTAAACCTATTAGAGGTAGATCCAATTAGTTTGTTTGCTTTATCCAAAACTAGAGCAGCATAATTTCAGGGGGGGGGGCTCTTCATAGAAAAAGCAGGACAGGGGTTGCATCCTCAGCCCTCACTGGAAAGGGCACATGGTCTTTAGGCACAATTCAGAATTTCCCTTCCCATAGCTATAAAAGATGGAGTGGAAATCTACAAAGCTTTATGTTACCTCTTTTTCTGAGCAAATTACAAATGATTGGTCTTCTCCAGAGAATATATGTTTAACAATATAATACGTGCAGGCCTCTGTTGAAGAAGATTGACAAGAATTGAGTTAAAACCATCAGACATCAGCAATCACAAACATCCCATTTGTCTTTCTTTTGGAAACCAAAATTAATATAGCCTGAAGGGTTGGGCTTGCGATCCAAAAGCTAAGTATGCTGTATATCCTGTTCTCTGCTAGTCACCAGAGGGGTTGTGGCTCAGCGGCTTAATGACACTGGAGATGGTCTCTGCTCCAGCGGTTCAAGCCCTGGCACTGCGTGGTCGGGTGAGCTCCCATCACTCACCTCAGCTTCTCCCCACCTAGCAGTTCGAAAATATGTTATATGCAAGTAGATAAATAGGTACCACTTTGGTGAGGAGGCAAGGCAACGCTTCACGTGGCAGTTAGAATCCTGCTGACTCTGAATCTTCCTGGTTGTGATACCTGTTTGCGAGGAGGCTCCAGGAAGAGAGAGGGGGGGCCTGGATGATGCTGTAAGGAAAGCCGCTCATCTTTCTTTCCGGTGCAAAGTTAGCTCACCCTCTTGTGGTGCACCATGGGAAGCACACAAATGTGCACCTGACAGAGCTGGTAAACAGGCAGTCAAACCACTACTCTTCATTAGCATTGTAGGCTTCTGGCTAATGTAACAACACCATATGCTAAATAAACAAATACAGTTCTAGTCACTTACCTACTCTACCAGAGATCTGCTCATCATAAGCTGCCCAGTGGCCTTTGACTGGAGAAGGACATTTAAGACTGCAGATATGTCCATTTCCCAGCTGGCCTTTAGTTCCACAGCCAAATGCATAGATCATTCCTGAAGAAGGCACAAAGGCTAGAGTGTGCTGTCTGAAAACATCAAAATAATCAAATTGTTTGTAAAGTAGTCTTCTTCGATAACCAACTATATTCAGTGCAAAATTGAACATGAAAAAGAACCTTTTTTTTTTCCTCCCCAGCCATTTGTCTATTTGGTAGTGCAGTGGTTAACTACAGTATTGTAGGCAAACTCTGCTCACATCCTAGAGTTCGATCCTCAGTCTTCCTTCCTTCCAAGGTCAGTTAAGATGAGGTCCCATATTGTTGGTGACAATATACTGACACTGTAAACCACCCAGAGAGTGCTGTAAAGCACTATGGGGAGACATATAAGTCTGAATGCTATTGCTAGTTACATTTGTAAGATAGAAAAAAGCAGATCCCCACCCCCCACCCCCACATCCTTGTTGCAGTTGTTCCTTCTGCTACCATCATGACCAGCTTCAGAACTGATACAATATTGATGACTTTCCTAAGGTGATTAAGTCCTACAGAGCAATACAATGGGGACCTTGAAAGGAGCAAATAAAACATAACTTGGTAAATACCTCTCGCAATAACATTCTTCAAGAAAAAAGGTGAGCCAAGTTGGGCAATGCAAAATGCATCATCCCTTTTCCAAATTTTCAAGAGGCATCACTAAAAAAGAGACTACAAAGTCTCTGTAGGAACCGCAGAGAAGAACATCCTGCAGGAATTCTTAAAGTCATTTGCCTAAGGACATATTTTTCCCAATCTTTTAAGAGTGAAGAAATTTCTGCATTCCTTATAGATCACCCTCTGACCGAACAACTTTGCCTTCTCCATCTTAGTGTCTGCTAGCTGCTGACAATTCATTTGTATGATCCCAAGCAACATGGCTACTGCCCAGCTCAGCGCAATGATCCAGATTCTAGAAAGGCATTATAAACCATAACCAACTTCATTCCATCCAGAACTCCACTATAGCTCCCTCTAAATCAGAGGTGTCAAACTTGCAACATCACATGATGTGTCGTGATGCATCGCAACTTTTTTGCCATTGCCAGCAATAGGGTGGGCATGGTTTCACTATGATGCATCCGGCAGTTTGACACCCCCACTCTAAATTGTGTTGCCTGCTTCACAGTGTGACCTGAATAGAAGTAAGAGGCTAAGCCTCTGCTTGTTCATTATTGTATCAGTGTTTCAACTTTGATTAAACATGTTGGTTAAGTAGAAAAAAAAGTGAAGCTGATAAAATTTTAAAGTAAAATGATGGTCGAAGATGATGGTCGAAGCAGATGCCATATTCCATTAGAGCAACATCATTCCAATTTGTCCATTTTCTTTTAAACTATTTAAATGGTATGAAAACAATGTATTTCTCCAAATGACTCCAAATTATTATTTGTTATTAATTTAAAATTAACAAATATTTAGTATTGCAAAAAATGCAATTACAAATGGGTCTGACTTTTCGGGCTGCGAAGACGAGGTTTATAATCTCTGTCCATTAGCAGATTAAATCAAATATCTAAATCTGCAATTTCTCCAGATTTAGATGTGTCCCACTTTCCCATTCCAAATACATCGGGAATAACAGGTAATAGGAATCAACCAAGTGAACAGTTTTGGACACCAAGCATATAATAAGGAGCATCCAACATTGCTGATTAACTCTCTTGAGATCACTTTCCTCTGAATTTTATTTTCCATTTGTTTAACCAAGGCTGAGAATCTTTGGCCTTGTGAAAGATTTGCCTAAAAGACCACTCACCTACCACAAGCGACCTGGGACACCTCACTGCCCATCAGCTCCAAAACTCTTCTAGGGTTGACTTCATCGTTCAATGAATCATGACCAAGTTGCCCACATGACCCTGCACCAAACGTAAACACTCCTCCACTCTGCAACAGAGATCACAAGAACATTTTCACTTAGAGTAAAGCACCCACTGACATCAAATAATTTCCTTCTTCAAAACACTTAATCCAACAGTTCTGATAGGCATCTCGACAACATTGTATATAAACTTTTGAATTCAATGATTTTAACTTAATAATTTTAAATTATGCAAAAGCAAGGAATGAAAAAGAAAGCACTGTATATTTTTTAGGCCTTAAAAAAAAGAACTAAGCCAGTGATGGCGAACCTTTTAGAGACCAAGTGCCCAAACTGCAACCCAAAACCCACTTATTTATTGCAAAGTGCCAGGGCTGCATCATCATTGTGGTGCCCTCAGAGGGATGGGTGGGTGAGCGTGGCTGCAGTGGTCACAGCAGACTGGGTAAGCGTGGCCGGGGCCAGTCCCTTGCCATCTCTGGGGCATCCCTGAGGGGTCACCGCTTGCTCGCTCACTTCCTGCCCTGTCGCTTCCAAATGCCACATGCTCGCTACTCTGGCGAACTCTGCTGGGGCAACGGTGTGCGTGCCCACAGAGAGGGCTCTGAGTGCTACCTCTGGCACGCATGCCATAGGTTCGCCACCACTGAACTAAGCTATAAAGGAAAATATTTGTAGCTCAGAGTTGACATGAGGAGCCCTTGGTGCTCTCTGAGCTTGCTCTGTTTTCTTGCAGACGTTTAATTACCCAAATTAGATTACATCATCAGTGCTGTTAGGAGTGCTGTTTGCTGTCAGTTTATATTCTGGTGTCTTGCCTATCAGTGTTGGTGGGGGGGATCTTAAGATATTCTTTGCTTGCTATTGGCTTCTTCGGCAGTTTCTTGCCTGGGGTATTGTTTACTTGATTATTGGTCTTATGTTAACCTTGGAATTAATCTATGCTGATCTGGGTGCTGATTGCTGGTGGAGAAGTACTTGGGTCTTTCTGTTCCCTTTTGGGCTGGGTGATAGTCTTTAGATCAGTGGTTCTCAACCTGTGGGTCGGGACCCCATTTGGGGTCGAACAACCATTTCACGGGGGTCGCCAAACAATGCAGTCCGCCATATTTTTTCCCTTTTCCTTAGCTGTGCTACTCCCTTTTATTCTATTGGCTTTTGAAAGCCAATAGAATAGACTCTCTTGAATAGAGTCTAATTCTATTGGCTTTCAAAAGCCAATAGGAATTGCCCAGGCTGTCTCTGTCCTGCTGAGCCCACCAAAAGTCCCATTCTGCAAACAGTGCTGCAAGTTGTCTGCAGCGAAGGCGAGCTGTCTGGAAGTTTCCACCCCTCCCTGCTGAGCAACTACTAAAAATGTAAATAAAAGAGGCCGGGGTGGGAGGTGGGAGGCCGGCCGGCGCAGGGAGGGTTGCTGGTGCACGTGGGGCCTGGTGGGTGCCTTACCTCCCTTGGGCTGGGCCAGCTGGTGGCCCAGCCGGTGGTCGGCCTGCGCCGTCGCTGCCACTTGCCAGCTACGCCTCGGCCGGCGCAGGGGGCGGCACCACACATGCTCGGCGTTCCCGGGCAGGGAAAGTCCTCAACTTACGACTGGTTGGGTAGTCCTCGACTTATGACCGGTTGGGGGTCGCGGCATTAAAAAGGTTGTGAACCACTGCTTTAGATGTTAATGTCTATGGGTCTCTTGATGGCTGTTTTGTCAGAGTGCCAGGCTTCTAGAAATTCCCCAGTGCTTTGGGACTTGGCTTGGGTCCAGGATGATCATATTTTCCCAATTGAAACTATGGTTAACTCTGTCTATATGTTGTTAAATTAAATCAGTGCCCTTACTAGTACTGATGATGTTACCTAGTTTGGGTAATGAAAAGTTTGCAAGAAAACAAGTAAGCTCAAAGAGCACCAAGGACCTCTCAAAGAACTAAGCCTATGTTTCTTATGTGCTAAAGCCCCACTTCTCTAATGTACTAAATAATGGCTAGCGCTAAAATATATGCATGCAATTTTAACTAGCACTGATGATGTTACCTAGTTTAGGTAATGAAAGGTCTGCAAGAAAACAGCCATGTTCAGAAAGCACCAAGGACCTAGTACGCAATTTTATACAGTCAGATTATTTGCACTTTTGTCAGTATACTTGGAGTCAGAAAAAAAGGAAAATAAGAATATAAACTAATAAAACAGCGCAAATGATAGAATATCTTCCAAATAGGGATTGTTGAACTGAAAAAATTGTTTAGATGCCTGGCTGGGTCTTCGGGATTTAAAATGCGAATTGATCTTCCCAGCCATGCATATACACACAGAGTTATTGGAATAAATGGATTATTTTCCTGGGTTGGTTTGTGCAATTAGGGGCACTTCATTTTTTCTTACATCAGAAACACTACTTTGCATTTCAGTGTTTTTTAGCAGGTGTTCGTACTTTTTGGAACTGACTCCTCTTTGAATGATATTTGAAATCCAAACTCTTGAGGTTCAAACAATGTTCTTTATGAAACTGGAAGGGTCTTTCATTTCAAAATGTTTTAAACTGATCATATTTTATTGTTAATACTTGATTCTATTGGATTCCATTTGGATCAAATAACAATACTACTACTACTATTATTATTACTGCTACTACTGGAGAAAGAATGCCCTTCCAGCATTCAAGTACCAGTCAATTTATAATCAATTATAATCCTGCCTTAGACACGAAGCCAATATTTAAAAGATGTTCTCCTACTTTTGTCAAGACAGCAGTATGTTCATTTCCACAGCTGATGTAGACAACTTTTTGAGTCCTTAAAAGTTTCACATGGCAAGGACATTCCCGATCTGCATTAAAGAGTATAAAAGGCTATAAAATTACTTACAAAAACAAAGCAGGCTGCTTCAGAAATAACCGAGTAAAATAAACTATTATTGCTATAGATACTCTTCTCAAAAATAAACAATAAAAAGCAGCTGAAAGTTGTGTCTAGGTTTTAGCAGTTCAAATGGTCCATTCTGCTACAGAAGAAACACATTAAATAGTTTGCGACACCTGATTACATAAATCATTGTTATCTTTTTTGCATGCTCAGTTTGGGTACAAGAGATAAGAAGGATCCACATTCAAACCTAGGCTGCTATAGGAGTGTAAAATTCTTATGTGAGACTGCAAAATTTTGACTGAGTTTGCTTTTCACAAAGGATTTGGACAAGCACAGTGGCAATGTTCTAACTCATTCCACTAAAATAAAATACAGGCCCAACTACACAGTTGTGCTCACGTCAATTCCACCAGGCTGATTACATGCACAGAGATGGTTTTGTGGACTTTAAGTATCTGAACTAGACAGAAAAGAGAAAGAAAGCGTTTCATCTCCTTAAAATCTCCCTCCCTTGCTTCCCATTTTTGTAGCCATTCACAGACATGCTTGGCTGAGAGGAGAGGCATAAAGAAATCTCTCAGAAAAAAAACAGAAGAATGGAGTTAGAAACCTCTGCAAAATCTGAATAAAAAAACATCTTTTATGTATGTTTGTCACAAGTACCTTTCTCGTCACTCAAACCCAGCTGTCCGGAGGTGTTTTTCCCCCAGCCAAAGACAGCTCCTGAGAGGGACAGAGCAAAGCTGTGTGCTCCACCTGCAGCCACCTGAGACAGAGGGATCCCATCAAGCGATCTGACACGCTGAGGAGTGTTCTGCGAAGGGAATTCTTTACCCAGCCCAAGCTGTCCATAGTTGTTCTGTCCCCACGCGAAGAACTGTCCATCTGGGGGGGGGAGAGAATTAAGACCTAGAGCTCAGAAAACAAACAATCCTTTTTCACCTCCCACCATACAGGTAGTCCTTGACTTACAACTGTTCATTTAGTGACCATTCAAAGTTACAACGGCACAGAAAAAAGTGATTTATGTCGGTTTTTTTACACTTATCACCTTTGTAGCATCCCCCAGGATCATGTGATGAAAATTCAGATGCTTGGCAACTGATTCATACTTGTGACAGTTGCTGTGTCCCAGGGTCACGTGATCACCTTTTGCAACCTTTTGACAAGCAAAGTCAATGGGGAAGCCAGATTCATTTAAACCACCATGTTACTAACTTATCAACTGCAAGAATTCACTTAAAAATTGTGGCGAGAAAGGTCATGAAATGGGGGCAAAGCTCACTTAACAAATGTTCCGCTTAACAACAAAAATGTTGGGCTCAATTGTGATTGTACGTCGAGGACTACCTGTACTGCAATCCCATGGAGAAAAGCTAACATGTTATTTATTTAAAACTTTTATACACCTATCCATCTTATATTGAGAGAGAATCATACAGAGCCAGTTTGGTCTAGTGCAGGGATAGGCAACCTTGGTTCTTTTATGACTCGTGGACTAACTCCCAGAATTCCTGAGCCAGCATGGCTCAGCTTGGAAACCTCTCCCTTTCCCCTCAGCATGGCTGGCTCAGGAATTCTGGGAGTTGAAGTCCACGAGGCATAAAAGAGCCAAAGTTGCCTACCTCTGCTCTAGGGGGGCAGGGCTCATCTCCATTGAGTCTAGTTGAGTCATGAAAAAGCACTTTTGAGATAACTATGACCTGGATGACTGGGAATCGCCATAGGCTAACCCAGGGGTAGACAACCTTGGCTCTTTTATGACTCATGAACTTCAACTCCCAGAATTCCTGAGCCAGCCATGCTGAGGGGAAGGGGAGAGTTTCCAAGCTGAGCCAAGTTGGCTCAGGAATTCTGGGAGTTGAAGTCCACGAGTCATAAAAGAGCCAAGGATGCCTACCCCTGCTCTAGTCTAGTGCAAGGTGTCCAACCTTGGAACTTTAAGACTTGTGGACTTCAGTTCCCAGAATTCCCAGCCATTATAGCTCCATTACAGTTGTATGTCAAGAACTATCTGTAGCACGCCGAATAGGGGTACGTTTGAGAAGTCCTATGGTTGAAAGTAGTACATTTCAGATATTACAGAGAATTATCATTTTTAGAAACCTTATCTTCTGAAACAGAAGTGAGGATTATCCTCTTTTTGAAACTTTTCCCAGAACTGTGATTATCATTAAGTACAAACTTGTTTAATTTAATAATGTTACAGCCCTAGTAAGAAAAGTTGAATTATTAAATGTTAAAATGGTCATACCAGCTGCTAGAGCTAGACAATGCCAGTTGCCGCATGAGACCTGTAGGATCATCTCTTGATTCAGCTTTTTTATTAACCTAAGAAAACAAAACAAATTACACACTTTAACAAAGTTGTAGACGTGTAATATAATTTATCTAGTCTTCATTATTATCCTCTCCATTAAAGAGGCTGTGACAGTGAGACTAGTTTAGACAATATTATCAGAGTCCTAAAACATTATTGGTTTGGATTTTAAAAGAAAACAAGAAAAGGAGTGCCTTTTATTAAATGTGATCATGTACTGAAAGCCCCAAATATCATGGTTGAAATGAAAAATGAATCAACAGATGTCCACGAAATCACTTGCGTGTAATAGAACAGTGGTTTTCAACCTTTTTAATGCCACGACCCCCAACCGGTCGTAAGTCGAGGACTACTCAACTGGTGCAGCACCGTTTGCAGAATGGGACTTTTGGCGGGCTCAGCAGGGCAGAGACAGCCTAGACAATTCCTATTGGCTTTTGAAAGCCAATAGAATTAGACTCTATTCAAGAGAGTCTATTCTATTAGCTTTCAAAAGCCAATAGAATAAAAGGGAGTAGCACAGCTAAGGAAAAGGGGAAAAAAATGGCGGACTGTGTTGTTTGGCGACCCCCGTGAAATGGTCGTTCGACCCCAAATGGGGTCCCGACCCACAGATTGAGAACCACTGTAATAGAATAACAGAGTTGGAAGGGACCTTGGAGGTCCTCTAGTCTAGTCCAATCCCTTACTCAGGCAGGAAACCCTATACTATTTAAGACAAATGGCTGTCCAATCTCTTCTTAAAAACTTCCAGTGATGGATCACCCACAAATTCTGAAGGCATGCCATTCCACTAATTAATTGTCGTAACTGTCAGGAAATTTCTCCTTAGTTCTAGGTTGCTTCTCTCCTTGATTAGTTTCCATCCATTGCTTCTTGTCCTGCCTTCAGGTGCTTTGGAGAATAGTTTGACTCCCTCTTCTTTATGGCAATGTCTTAGATATTGAAACACTGCTATCATGTCACCCCTACTCCTTCTTTTCATTAAATTAAACATACCCAATTCCAGCTACCATTCTTTCTATGTTTTAGCCCCCAGTCCCCTGATCGTTGCTCTTTTCTGCATTCTTTCTAGAGTCTGAACATCTTTTTTATATCGTGGCGACCAAACTGGATGCAGTATTCCAAGTGTGGCCTTACTAAGGTATTATAGAGTGGCATTACACTTCACATGATCTTGAGTCTATCCCTCTGCTAACATATCTGCAATCTTCCACTGTCTTCCACTTTTTTATGAAAAAAACAGATTTCCTTGAAATCACTTGAATGTATCTGCAATCTTCCACAAGACTAGGAAAAGTCCCACAAGCATAATCTCTCATATTTACCTTGGAATTGTTACAGCATCTTCCATTGTCGTAAGGCCCAACTGACCATCACTTCCTGCGCCCCAGGAAAAAAGCTGGCCTTGGTCACTAAGAGCCACATTATGAGATTCACCGCAGGCCACATGGACAATGTGCTGGTCAGCTAGAGCATCGATTTGTTCTGAGGAAAAACAAGAGAAAGGTTGAACATTCTAAGAATCCAAAACGGTTTACCTACGTCAAGGGTAGGCAACCTGGGCTCTTTTATGACTCGTGGACTTCAACTCACAGAATTCCTGAGCCAGCTGTGTTGGCTCAGGAATTCTGGGAGTTGAAGTCCACGAGTCATAAAAGAGCCAAGGTTGCCTACCCCAGACCTAGTGCAAACATTCAAAACAGAACGAGTGTAAGGGAAAGAAGAGGGACATTTAAAAACCCAAGGTTTGCTAAAGCTATCATAGCTGAGTTGACCATGAGACTCAAAACTTAAATGCATAGAGGTAGTATCTTCGTAGGTCATCTGAAGTTGTACAAAACTGCTGAAAAAATTTGAGTTTTCAGAATTCTCCATCAAGCAAGAGGACTGGAAAATAAAAGTGGTTGGAAGATTTCTATTTGCTAAACAAAAGATTTATTTATTTGAGAAAATTTATGTGACCGCCTAACTCACTGTCAGTGACTCCGGGCAGTTAACAAGGATAAAAGCCCAATACAAAAACAATTAAAAAATTCAATAAGCCACCACCACTCTGGCAACAAAATCAAATGAATCATCGATGGGCTCCATCCCACCCTGGGATCCCCAGTCACATTGGCAAAAGTAGATCTTCAAGGTCTTGCAATAGACTGTCAAAGTAAGGGCCAATCCTATCTCCAAGGGGATGATATTTCACAGGGAGGGAGCCACCACAGAGAAGGCCCTTCTCCTCGGACCTGCTAGATGGACCTCCTGAGGATCCAAAACAATCCCTGCCTCCCCACTCTAGCAGGTCAGGTAGATGTGACTGGCAAAAGATGGTCCTTCAAAGATTTGGTTCCTCCTGCAGCTTATCATAAGTTAACACTACTTTGCATCTAAAAATATCCAATTTGCATGTCTGAAACGTCCCTTTATGCTATCTAACAACAGGAGACAGATATTAGCCGTCTTTTTCCTCCCTCCCCACTATTGTCTAATCCATGCCAGGTATGCAGTGAAGGCCAGGGGAAGTAACTGGTTCTGTTACAACAGTGTTGGCGAACCTATGGCACGGGTGCCAGAGGCGGCACTCAGAGCCCTCTCTGTGGGCACACGTGGCGTCGCCCCAGTTCTAGGCCTTCAGCTGGGTTTTATAAAACTTTTTCGCTTTAGGTCTCCGCTGCCATGTGCAAAAAAAAAAAAGGTTCAATCAGTCAATTTCAACTTCTCACAGGAAAAAAAAAAATCTTGGAAAGTTGGAATTGATTGATTGAACTTTTTAGTCCCACCCAGTCTGCTGTTACCACTGCAGCCACGCCCACCCAATGGGCCACACCTACCCGGCACCCAACGATGCATAAGTGGGTTTTGGGTTGCAGTTTGGGCACTTCGTCTCTAAAAGGTTCACCATCACTGTGTTACAAAAACTGTAGTGTTGCCAGTTTCTCATAATGTTAAACTGCAGCTACCCTCCATGAGAATCTTTTGCTCTAGACGGCAAGGAGACAGCCTTGTTTCTCCATTATGCTGGAATAAAATGGGCAGTGATGCTTTACCAGTATTAAGTGCACTGATCCTGACAAATCGCTCAAGTGTTAACAGGAGACAAGGACATTTAACATGCAAAGTATACTAAGGCACATACTTTTCACTTTTCCAAGGCTTTCTAGGAGGATGCTATGAAACAGTGAAAAACATCTCTGAGATGATCTCCGGTTAACACCCTAGCATTGCTATCAAGAGCTCGCTAGACTGAAAATAGCAATTCAGGGGAACAGCTTCTCCTAGCTTCCTTTAAGAGGCTGCACAGAATTTCAAAACAGATGGATTAGCAACCTTCCAGATGGAATGTAATTTTCGACGGTGCAGCTTGTTCCTTTTAATGCTACTTGAGTCAGTAAAATGAGGACCCAGATTGTTGAGAGCAATATGCTAACTCTGTAAACTGCTTAGAGAGGGCTGCAGAGCATTATGGGGCAGTATATATGTCTAAATGCTATTGCTAACACTATGACGCTGCTGCTGGATAAGCTATGTTGCCTTCTAGTACAAGAGTCCCCAACTTGTGGGCCACAGCCCATTATCAGGCCGTGGCCTACTGGCCACCAGACCATGGAAATAGGCTGACCAGTGCGCACACATGTGTGCACGCACTCACACCCACTTGCGCTAGTGCCGCTATGAAAACGGGGCACCACGCGGCGAAAATGGGGCGGTGCTAGCATCCATGCAGCAAAAACGGGGAGGTGCTAGAGCAGCGGTTCTCAACGTTTGTGTGACGGCGACCCCCATCACACAAACGTTATGCGCATGCGCGGCGCCCCCCACGCGCGGCACGCATGCGCGGCGCCGCCCCCTGAAGGCACGGGGCTGCCCCCATGCGCGGCACGCATGCGCAGCGCCGCCCCCCAGAGGCGCGCCACTGCCCCACGCGCGGCGCACATGCGTGGTGCCGCCCCCGGAGGCACGCCGCCGCCCCCACGCGCGGTGCGCGTGCGCGGCACCGCCCCCCCGGAGGCGCGGTGCGCCCCCGGAGGCGACAAAATGGCGGATCGCCGCATTTGGCGACCCCACAAAAGAGGTCGATCGACCCCAAATGGGGTCGCGACCCATAGGTTGAGAACCGCTGTGCTAGAGAGTGTCACATGGGCGCTAGCACTGCCCTGTTTGCATCGCGTGTGCTCACAGCCCTGTGTGTGTGTGTGTGTGTGTGTGTGTGCGTGCGTAAAAAGCTTCCCCCTCCCTTTCCCTTCAGTCTGCCAGCTGAGAAAGGTTGGAGACCTCTGTTCTAGTAGATATCTGGCTACAATTCAAGATGCTGGTTATCATCCTTGCAGTTGTGCACAGGGTTAGTTAAGCACAGGGTCAGTTATGGAGCCACTTGACTCGAGTTGTTTCCCAAGTGATCAGACTGTATGGGCCTGCTCCAGAGCCTCTCAGTGAAATAGTGCCATCATGCAGGGCCCAAGAAAACACGCCTTGTCACTTGTCACTCTGTGGAAGAGCCTCCTTCACAAGATCCAGATAACCTCAATCCTTCTGGACATATGAAATGTTATGAAAGGTACGATGGCTAGGTAGCTAGTACTGCCCAATATGTGCAAGTTTGGGACTGTGAGTTGTTTGTGAGATACCTGGGTTCTGGTATTTGCTCGCTTTGTTTTTAATTATATTGTTCATTTTGTTATATCTTGGCTTTGTCCACTATTGTCAATCACTCAGAGTTTTTTTGTTTCAGATGGGCAACCATATACATTTTCTAAATAAATAAAATAAAATTCCAGGTCCAAAAGTATTTTGGTGTTGACAAATGAGTGAAGAACAACAAAAGGAATATAATTCTTTCATTTCCACAATGTGGCAAAGACAGTCAATTTTAATTACTTTAATGTAATCTTGGGCCATACCTTTCTTGAAGGTGGAAGACACTGTGTTTGGGATTTATTCTTTTGCTTAAAAGGGAGAAATAAAATGCTCCCTCTTAGTAATGTCATGAATTTTAGAATTCATATGTGGTTTTTGTTTCAAATTCTTCTACAGGGGACCAATCTTTAAAAAAAATTGGTTGGAAAGGCACATGAATTTAGTGAAATAAATAAACATAATCATGGATGTTTGACCAAACTGTCCTCAAGTTAGTACATATATTTTGCAGTTCTTAACCGAGCTAGAAACTAGACTGTATTCATATTGGAAAAGTACAACATGTTACAGACACGTTTCCAAAATCTACTCCGCATATGGCAAAGTGTAATTATTTTATGAAAAACCTCAGTTTTTGTAGGAATAATCTCTAGGGGATAACACTACTAAACTGGACTGTTGGATTCTGCAAGCAAATACATTGAGAAGGAAAATCCATGTGAGAATGAGAAATTTATTTTTAAAATTTGCTTGTTGCCACTGGCGCCAGTTCAAAAGATAGACCAAATATTGCCCAATATGTCTAGTTACAAACCTTATCACTTCTCTACCTACAGTAATACATATATGAACACTTAGGTTTTTTTTTCTTATTTGCTCAATCATCAATGTTTGGAATGCTGACTGGCAATATCCTTAATTCCATGGGGTACTTTAAAGCAATTTAGGCTTAATAGGGGAAAATATCCAATTACATAGATAAAGTAAATATTTAAAGTATTTGAAATCAGCCCAGTAAAAAAATGTAAGACAAAAATGATGAAACATACTGAAGTTACCTAAAAGGGAAAGAACCAAATGACTGTATATGTATTTGTGGGTGTGTGAGTGCACGCGCGCACATGTGTGTATTTCATGGACAAAAGTCTATGTAAAGGTAATGCTCTGTCTGAGGCCAATTTATTTATTTATTTATTTATGAGACTTATATACCGCTTTAAGTGCAAGTACTCTCTAAGCGGTGTACACCAGTAAACAATGTATATATATATTTACATTGCCCCCAACAATCTGGGTCCTCATTTTACCTACCTCAGAAGGATGGAAGGCTGAGTCAACCTTGAGCCGGTGAGATTTGAACCGCTGACCTGCTGAACACAGTCAGCTAAAGTGGCCTGCAGTACTGCACTCTAACTGCTGCGCCACCTCAGCTCTTCAAAATCATGGACATTTTCCAATCCTGAAGAAATGTGTTCACTTATCACATTTACTGTAGGTGCGTATGTATTAATAAAAGCTAGTTTAAAGATTTTGATTTAAAACTTTAAAACTTGTCCTTAAAAAGGCAGGGTCAAAAGAAAAAAATGAGAAGCTACCAATTGTTATTCACAGTTCATAAACACAATAAATATTTACTATGTAAATACATAATGTAATAACCACTGATTTAAATTGATTGCCTGTAAAATAAAGGGGGGGCTGCATATCCCCTATCCATATAAAAGAAGGGAAGGGACAATATGGTGTTTGTGTTTGTATCTGCCTATGTACATACCATGTCAAGTGAACATCTGCATGGGCTAATGCAGGAGTAGGCAACCTTGGCTCTTTTATGACTCGTGGACTTCAACTCCCAGAATTCCTGAGCCAGCCATGCTAGCTCAGGAATTCTGGGAGTTGAACTCTATGAGTCATAAAAGAACCAAGGTTGCCTACCCCTGGGCTAAAGAGAGAAAATTTTGAGGAAGAACTATATGTGAGTCTATCCCTTTATGAGTTGAATCTCTCAACAGTAAAGGGAATGCTTCGAATTGCTTTGGTTCCACGGCTATGACCACACTGTGCATCTTCCAACTTTGGGACGATGCATCCCTTTCTGTTATTTGTGAATGGTTGGATACAGGGTTTGATCCTGCCGTGTGTCCAGTTATTCGAATGTTTGGTAACTGTGAAGGTTGTAAGTTGAGTACCTACAAGAAGAAAGTTGACGGTTTTGTTGTTTATTGTCTATCATATAATCTTCATTTTATTACGAGTGTGAGTATTGTGTGTGTCTGTGTGTATTGTATCATCTGAATATCTTTCCTTCTCTGTCACCCTTAAAGGGGAAATGGGAAGCAAGGTTGATTCCTTATCAACCTCCATGGTGGCGCAGTGGTTACAATGCAGTACTGCAGGCTAACTCACTGCTCCCTTGCGCAGTTCGATTTTGAACGGCTCAAGGTTGACTCAGCCTTCCATCCTTACGAGGTCGGTAAAATGAGGACTCAGACTGTTGATGGCAATGTGCTGACTCTGTAAATCGCTTAGAGAGGCCTGTAAAGCACTATGAAGTGGTATATAAGTCTAAGTGATATTACTGTTGCTTATGCTAGGTCAGTGATGGCAAACCTTTTAGAGACTGAGTGCCCAAACTGCAACCCAAAACCCACATATGTATCGTCGGGTGCCGGGTGGGTGTGGCTCGTTGGGTGGGTGTGGCCTATTGGGTAGGCATGGCTATGGTGGTAATGGCAGACTGGGTGGGACTAAAAAGTTCAATCAATCAATTCCAACTTTGCGAGATCTTTTTTTTCCCAGCGAGTTGAAATTGATTGATTGATTGATTGAACCTTTTTTTTTTTTGCACAAAGCGGCGGAGGCCTAAGGCGAAAAGGTTTTATAAAACCCAGCTGAAGGCCTAGGACTGGGGCAACGGCGTGCCATAGGTTCACCACCACGGTACTAGGTTTCTTGTATATACATAAGAAACTCTATCTGTACGTGTTTATATCTCCCCTGGCTTGGTTTCATGATTCTTTTATTCCAACTGGTTTGTGCTTGTGTATGTGCAAATTCGTATAAATATTCCCCTTGCTGATCAGGGCTGTTTGTCTGGTTTCCTATTTCCAAGTGAAGAACTGAAATCTATTATGTGCCTATTCTCCTTGTTAAGATCAAGTCTGGCTTGAGCAGGAGGTTGCACTGGAACAGGGGTCTTCAACCTTGGCGACTTTCTGATTTGTAGACTTCAACTCCCATAGCTGGCTGAGAAATTCTAGGAGTTGACGTCCACAAGTTGTAAAGTTGCCAACACTGAAGACCCCCTGAACTAGAAGACCTCCAAGATCCCTTCCCACTCTGTTATTCTGTTACACTTCTTCCTCCTTCTCTTTTCCTCACAACCACCTTGTGAGGTGAATAAGTCAGAGAGAGAGAGAGTGACCAGCTCAAAGTCACCCAGCCGGCTTTGATGCCTAAGGTGGGAATAGGATACCACCATGCCCCTATCACATCCCTGAGACCTTAACAACATTTTAAAAAGCAAAAAGCAGCCTGTGGTCAGGAAGAGATTTCCCCATCCCTGTCTCTTAGAATCTGAAGTAGAGTCCACAACATCTATATCACCTGAGACTTTCTATCCATCAGACCACAGGAGAAAGCAAACTGCTTTAGTGATTGTGGTGAAAGCCACTGTTTGCAAAAGTGCCAAAATCTGAACAGGCAAGGGACTAGCATTCTTTTAGTTCTCTTTCAACATCATGGATAAAGTGAATGGGGGTTGCTCTTGATCAGGGGTCTTCAAACTTGGCCCTTTTATGACTTGTGGACTTCAACTCCCAGAGTTCCACGCTGACTGAGGAATTCTGGGAGTTGAAGTCCACAAGTCATAAAAGGGCCAAGTTTGAAGGCCCCTGCTCTTGATGCTGGAAATGTAAGGAAAAGGATATAATTTGAACAAGACACACTCTTGACATGACGCTTCATGGTTCCTGGCAGAGGTTATTTTGAGGTCAGAGAGAAAAAGCACCTTAAGTCAAAATCTAGATGAGAAGAAAATAACCAGTGTGAAGCACAGTAGTCCTCAACTTACAACAGTTCATTTAGTGACCGTTCAAAGTTATAACAGCACTGGAAAAAGTGACTTATGACCATTTTTCATATTTATGGGCGTTGCAGCATCCCCATGGTCACGTGATCAAAATTCAGACGCTTGGCAACTGGCTCATATTTATGACGGTTGCAGTGTCCCATGGCCATGGGATCCCTTTTTGTGATCTTCTGACAAGCAAAGTCAACAGGGAAGCCAGATTCACTTAACAACCGTGTTACTAACTTAACAGCTGCAATGATTCACTTAACAACTGTGGTAAGAGCAATGGGGCACAATGGGTCATACAATGGGGCAAAACTCACTTAACAAATGTCACGCTTAGCAACATAAATTGTGGACTCAATTGTGGGCATAAGTCAAGGACTACCTATAGAGCAATTCTTGTTGTTGTTAGTTGCGAAGTCGTGTCCGACCCATCGCGATCTCATGGACAACATTCCTCCAGGCCTTCCTGTCCTCTACCATCTTCTGGAGTCCATTTAAGTTCACGCCTACTGCTTCAGTGACTCCATCCAGCCATCTCATTCTCTGTCGTCCCCTTCTTCTCTTGCCCTCAATCTTTCCCAGCATTAGGCTCTTCTCCAGTGAGTCCTTCCTTCTCATTAGGTGGCCAAAGTACTTGAGTTTCAACTTCAGGATCTGGCCTTCTAAAGAGCAGTCAGGGTTGATCTCCTCTAGGACTGACCAGTTTGATCGCCTTGCAGTCCAGGGGTCTCGCAGGAGCAATTCTTAGTTCACCCTTAAAAAGCCTCTGCTTCTTAACTTTCCTCATACCTGCCACACCCTTAAATAATTTAACTAATCCATTATTAAACATAGTATTGATAGTATTTATAACCTCGCCCCCCCCCCATGTTTCCACTATTTGGATCATATGAGCCAAGGTGGTGCAGCAGTTAGAGTGCAGTACCCAGGCCACTTTAGCTGACTGTGTTCAGCAGGTCAGCGGTTCAAATCTCACCGGCTCAAGGTTGACTCAATCTTCCATCCTTCCGAGGTAGGTAAAATGAGGACCCAGATTGTTGGGGGCAATGTAAAATATATATATACATTGCTTACTGGTGTACACCGCTTAGAGAGTGCTTGCACTTAAAGCGGTATATAAGTCTCATAAATAAATAAATAAATAAATAAATAAATAAATATGACGCAGCAGCCCTTTTGTGAAAATGCCCTTTAACTTGCTTTCAAAAGTTCAGATATGCCCATCAGCGCAAAAACATTTGGAACCGAACTGATTAACAACAGAGTCACAGAAAAAGCATAAATATAAGAATGATAATTCAAAACTATTGGAAACAGCAGATGCCAACAGAGACAAATCATGAAAACGAAAGAATTTAGGGTCAAGAACTCAGAACAAGCCTACCTGGCTTGCCGCCTTCTCTCTCGTGACCAAGTTGCCCTTTGGTGTTCACACCACAGGTGTACACTTCCCCATCTTCCAGCAAGAACACAGAGTGGTTTTTCCCACAAGCCACTTCCTTGACACTCCTCTCATGAACGAAATCAGTGGTCCGAGGTTCAGGGATGACCGCCTGTAGAGTACTATCTGAGCCAGGAAATCCGAAAGACCAATATCCCCAGCATAACATCTTCTCTGCTTTCAGCAAGGCATGAATCTTGAAATTTTCCTGCAGGTGAAAGGAGAAGAACTCTCTCTCTCAAAAAAAATAAAAGAATAGGGGTCATCTGCAGATCAAACAAAGGGCATCAGAAAGGACTATCAGGTTTCTTTTTAAAAAATATTTTACAGGTAGTGGTTGACTTGCAAAAGCAGTTCATTTAGTGACCATTCAAAGTGAAAATTGCACTGAAAAAGTGACTTGCGACCGTTTTTCTCACTTATGACCACTGCAGCATCCCCATGGTCATGTGATCAGGATTCAGATGCTTGGCAACGGATTCAGGATTGCAGTGTTCCAGGATCGTGTGATCACCTTTTGTGACCTTCCGACAATAGAGAAGTCAGATTCACTTGTCAACCGTGTCACTGACTTAACAACTGCAGTGTTCCACCTAACAATTGTGGCAAGAAAAAATGGGGCAAAACTCACTTAACAGCTGTCTCACTTAGCGACAGAAACTTTGGGCTCAATTTTGGTCATATGTCGCGGGCAATCTGCATATCAGTAAATAACATTCAAGGGCAAAAATCACAATTCTGTTTGGTAGCCTCATTTTCATGAAACAGATATCCAAAAGCTTAAGATTGCAGGCCTTTTCCTAACAAAAGAAGCTGGTCTATTAATTGATCGATATAAGCATTTTGATATGTGGAATGATGCTTTGTGCACAGATTTCTCAAGCCTGGAGACCTCCAGAATTGGTTTTCAACCATTTCCTACCAGCATGGGATTTTGACTCAGGTTTCAACAATCCAAGGGCAACTTTTCAGCAACTACACCATGAGTGGACAGCTTGTGAACCAATGTGCCTCCATAAAAAGCTTCCTGCAGCCTCTGAAGCACTTCTCCATTTGGTACCAATGCTCAACAATGCAGCCAAACATTTTCTACAATGAAAAATATTTGGCTCACCAAAGTCCATTGCTGCCACGTGCCACTCGAACTATTTCGCCCCACCTTTCTTTTGGACCTTCCTCCCCTTTTCTTAAGTCACCCCTATTACTATATCCTACCTCTTCCAACAGCTCAAACTGCTTCTCCCTGCCCCCTCTTCTTCTAAGGTGGAGTGGCACTTATTTTAGGCTTAACACCTAAGTTGCAAAATCCTAGGAAGCCACTAGATGGCGGTAACAACATTGTAAAAATCAGAGGTTCCCAACCTTTGGGCCGTGACCTCCTGGCCACAGGGCCACAGGACAGACTGGCCAGTGCACGCAAACACACCCACTCGTGCTAGTGCTGTGGCTGCGGAGTGAGAAAACAGGACACCGCGCCACATGGCACGAAACTGGGCTGACGCCGCACCTCAGGGCGCACAAACAGGATGCCAACACACCATGGAGCATGAAAACGGGCCGATGCTGCGCCGCGGGGCATGAAAACGGGGTGCTGTCCAAGAACAGGGCAGGGCTAGTGAACATCACGTAAGCAGTAGCCCCGCCTCGTTTGCGTCACACTTGCGTGCGCATGTGCATATAAAATGCTTCCCCCTCCCTTTTCCTCTGGTCTGCCAACTGAGAAAGATTGGTGACCTCTGGTATAAATAACTGTTTGCTGTCATAGTGGTTGTCCAGATTTTTCCAGCCCAGATACAAGCAATCATATTATGTCTAGCAGGTAAAAATCACGTTTTCCTGTTACTACTAGTTGCTGTTCAATCTCCTCCTGGTGCAAATGCCAAACATACTGTTTTTCATTATATAATACTAATAGTTATTTCCTGTTCGGGAGTGATTATAAGTTAAAGAATGACGAATAAACTTAAATGTAACTTAATTTATGTATACCTGCAGGATGGAATAAGGGGATATAATAAAAAGAAACCAGAGTGAATGCAAAAGGCAGGGAATATACGAATACTGACAAATAATACATGATGTTCAGTGTTGTGATTCGCAGGGTGCCGTGTTGCCTACCCCTTCTTTAGATGACCAACATACATGAAATGAAACAAACATTCATACACCAAATACATGTGGATCTTTTCAGAGACCACACAAGTCTGCAGTCCTCCATGAAATTCCTTTGAAAGGACATTTTTACAGCACCCTTGGTAAAGTATTTTGTATTAAGCTCTTTCTCCAGAAATCTCTTTGCCAGACCACTCCCCCCATTGTGGGACCCCAACGAAAAGCAGAGCTTTTATGTCTTGTTCTGATTCTTGAGAAAGAGCATCAGCAACAGTTGTGTTGAAATCTCAAGTTGTCACTTCTGGAAAGGGCAGCTTCTGCTCTGCTGATCATTACTGGCTAACTACAAATTACTCTTATTTGCTTCCCACATTATCAGCAGCAATAACCAAATGTGCTGAACTATGAACTATATTAACTATAACAGAAAAGAGTGGAATTTTTCTGCCCTTTTATGTCTACCCTCAAGGAAAACAGATCTGCTGCTATCTGTTTATCTTCAAGTTATGCTTAATTACCTCATGCTGGAAAGAATAAATTATGTAAGTTGCTGCAATAGCACACAACACATATTGCTAGAGTATTCCTCCCCTTCTCTCTTCAGAAAATTAAAACCTACAGGCCAAAACAAAGTACGTGTCAAATTCAACTAGGAAGAAGCACTTGGGAAAACACCAGATAGGAAATGGAACACTTGTTTACAAGTAGTATTTTTCAGCTGTAGCTGTTTTCATGAGTTTCAATTAGAGTTTTGGAAAACAAGTAGCAAATAAAGCACTTATCTAGATAGATAAATTTATTACGGTTCAAGACTAATAACTTAACCAAGCAGGATCCAAAAGTACAATTAATAGTTTAGTAGCCTACTAGGAATCCAACATTATTCATTGTAGTAACACTCATATTTTTTATAAGACTCGACCGGAATTCCATCTAAGCATGGTGATCATACAAATATTCTCATATTATTTAGTGCATATACTGTTTTTACTCTAATACTATTTCCAACATTAAAATTCACCCCTTTTCATCCAAGTATATTGATTTAATTTTATTTTTCTTTGACATATATAATAATTCCTCCTTTCTTGTTTTATGCTAATATTGTGTATAATGTTTCTAAATTTTACTTTCTCTAGTAATTTTCTATAATCCTATTTTATGTAAACTTCCTAAAGATACATCACATCTACATCCAATTTCCTTAAATTGTTAAACGTCCAAACTCTTTTTCTTAATATATTCAGTCCATTAATATTTATAGAAAAGAGCTTAATTACGTCTCCCATTTTTAACTTGATCTATTTTTTTGTTTTTATTTTGTTTTATACTTCTTGTCTCTATAAGTCTTCTTTTGCTTCTCTTTCTAACCTTTCTCTTTCTTGTAACTTTTATATTTCTCGCTCTCGATCAACTCCCTCTAATAGATCTTCATCATAACTTTTACTCTCCAGCTCTTCCCTACTTTCTTACTTTCCTAGTAAGTAGTAGAATATGAAAGAAGGAAAATGTAAATAAGAAACAATGGGGCAATAAGGACAAATATTTCAAAGAAGAAAGAGGGGGGAAATGTAAAGAATAGAAGAGTACTGTTACAAACTGCTGTTAACAAAAAAGGATGTATTACATGTGTATGTGTGTAATGTTTGTTGTGTTTTGTTTTGTTTGTCTAAAATAATAATAATAATAAAAATAGTTTAGTAGCCTAATTCATGGTGTCCTTCTGTTAAGGCTGGATATAACATACCTTTATGGCTAAGGCATGCAATTTATCTATTAATGCACATATGGCTTTATGCCAAGGCTTCTTTTTTGTAAGGTTATGCACATAACTGACAAAGAAGAAGAGAAATGCAAATTAATGGCAAGGAAAGAGAATCCATAAAAAGCAACCTGTTAAATCAGGTTGCGATTGGTTAAACTGATCTAGTATTTGGTATTCATAGAGTGGCCAAACAAATGCATTCTAGAAGGTTACATATATGACCAGGAAAATGCCAACCTTTTTCATTGTCGCTTCCTAACAGCTGATATATAAAGCATGTTGCCTCCGATTCCCTGCAAACTCTGTTTTTTCAACCCTAGAATTTTTGAAATTCTCTTGCTTCAACTGGGAATAAGGATGTTCAGTAATTTAAAGGTCCATGGGCTTCTAAGGAGGATAAATCTATGAGACAATGAGGAGAACCTTAAGTAGATTCAGAAAATATCACCTATCAGAAGTGTTCTGGTTCAGGTCTAATTTGATCCTGTCATTATGACGTGGAAATGGAGATGTTAAACATCACTAGTGTATAATCTTCTAGAAGTTCCAGATAAAAGTAAACATGATAGGCTAGTCAACTAAAAATCCTGACATGACCTAAATATTGGCTATCCGGAAGTTCTTTTCTATTCCAGTTTCTTCATCCAGGAAGCTTTATGTAAATTTCAAGGGTTGAGGTTTTTAAACTTTGTGTCGAAAGTCCAGAAGTATCTACCTTAAATCATAATGGATATGGCCTACATCAGAAGAAACAAGTGTACAATCAGACAGTTTTATATATGGGAATAAACCAGTGAAATCAGAGGAAATGGGGAGTAGAACAAAGAAACAAAATAATATCAGAACAGTCTTCATATAGTCAGTCCGTGTTCTCAGAAGGGCACTTGTTGGAAGATAGTTATGATGGGTGATGGTGTCATCGAAAACTAAATATTGTTGGTTATTAGATGTGTTTAATCAGGAATTAGAAAATTCTGTATGGGGACATCATCCACAACAACAAGGGTAACTCCACCGTTTGTGTGGGGCACTGAGGCATGCCTCTGTCTCTGCCTCTGGTCGCCATCTGATAGCTAGGTCAGAGAGTCTTCACCTTTAGCGATTACCTCAGCAAAATCCCCAACTATCACCCATGTAAATTTATGTCAATTTTGGAGGGGATACAGTTGGGGGTCATCTTGTGAGGAGATGTTAAAGGCACTTTTGACTCTAGTGAAGGTGGTAGATGGGTTGTATCCTTAGAGTCTGCACACTTAAAGGGCACTGTATGATGGGACAGTTTGTCTTTCTGCTGTTTATCAGGGTCTGAGTAAGTCAGTGCGGTTATCCCA